TGTGCGTATCGGGTGTGCGATGTGTATTGTCTATTATGATATTGTAATCATTGTTTTAACTGTAGCCTATACGAGGCACTGTGAGCTGACATAGCATTTGTCTATCGTCCTTTCACTGCTGTGTCAGTTCATATAGGCTATGTCCCCATGATATTTATATCATATTATGTTCTTATATTAGAATATCACATCAGCAAGAGTGCAGTTTTCCCGTGCACAATTGCAACTGTGATATTTATGTTATACAACAGTTAAATTAACAATAAGTTAACATTGGGAGTTACTTTTTAGACACAATATTGTCAATATTGTTTGTTTTCCCTTTATTTCGCCGACTAGAATTTCATAATGAAACCGTAGTGAGTCTCAATGCAACACAGCGATGATTTCTTGACTGAAATCCGCGTTTTGAACGAATCACTTGCTTCTTTCCCGAATGAATCGGCCGTTTGAACAAATCGTTTGAATGAATGAATCCCTCTTACAGGGACTTGCCGCCGCCTACTGGCGGTTTTAGTTTCATATTTAAAGTATCCTTTAATTAAAACGTTAAAATTAGAAATCATTTCATATTTAAATATTGATTTAAATTTAAAAAATGTATTTATGCAATTGTAAATGGAGTGTAAATATATGAATGCCACTTCTGTGTCACCTCTGCACTGCAAAGATGGATTTTGATTGAATTAATTAATTTGACTGGTAACAGTGGTATTGTATAATTATTGCATAATTAAGTATTATTGTATAAACAAGTATAATTACTGTATAATTTGAATGTTAGTATTTGACATAAAAGGCGATGCATAACTCTAAATAAGTTTAGAAAAAATGTCCATATATAGGTGAAAATGCCCCTGGAAATCAATTTAAGGTGGCAAATATTGCCTCTTAATTAAAAAATGTATTTCTGTCACTGCTGTGAACTGACCACTGCATAGAATATGAAAAATATGAATATCTTCGTGAGTCAGCTGTCAACAACAGGCCTAAACCAGCCATGGCACCAGCACAAAAACACAATCAGTAAAATATCATCTAATTATTAACAAAATGTTGAAAATGTTGAAATATATTTTTGTCAATATTGCACACCTCTAATGTACGGTATTAATTTTGATTTCTTTAGGCCTTAAAAAGCCTTAAATTGGACTTTAAAAAGTGTGCAGGAACCCTGTAAACGGTTAGACATATCAAGTCAGTTATTTTCAGTAAATGAATTAATAAGCTTCTTGGTCCCCATTGCTTTTGCTCTATAGTTCTCAAAATGAAGAGAAAGAAGGACATCATGTCTATTACAGTTACTGTGACTAATACTGATAATGCAAATGTAAAAATATAATGGAAATGCAAATACATTGTTGAATGATTATAAACATGGTATTTTGCATGTTAATGCCTGCAGCAGTGCAGAAAATGATATGACAACAATAAGGTCTAAATGTAACTGGCCCCTCTAACAGTACAACTGGCCCCAGCTTGGCCCCCCCAGTTGAAATGGGCTAGAACCGCCACTGAGTGAAGGTGTGTGTGTGTGTGTATCAGTGAAGGTGTGTGTGTGTTCTGCAGTCTGCAGTGCCAGTCTCTGTTGTGTGTGTGTGTGTGTTCTGCAGTCTGAGCTGCCAGTCTGTTGTGTGTGTGTGAATCAGCGAGTGTGTGTGCTCTCTAGTCTGAGCTGCCAGTCTCTGCTGTGTGTGTGTGTGTGTGTGTATCAGTGAAGGTGTGTGTGTTCTGCAGTCTGCGCTGCCAGTCTCTGTTGTGTGTGTGTGTGTATCAGTGAAGGTGTGTGTGTGTGTGTATCAGTGAAGGTGTGTGTGTGTGTGTATCAGTGAAGGTGTGTGTGTGTGTGTATCAGTGAAGGTGTGTGTGTGTTCTGCAGTCTGCGCTGCCAGTCTCTGTTGTGTGTGTGTGTGTATCAGTGAAGGTGTGTGTGTGTGTGTGTGTGTTCTGCAGTCTGCGCTGCCAGTCTCTGCTCCAGATGGCCATGTTCCGCTACAGACGGGATTCAGCGCTCAGATACTCGCGGACGCTCGCCGATCATTTCAGAGTGTGTGTCTTCAGTCTTCTCTGAGTTTCTCCTCACACTCCTTCAGACTGTCGGCCTCATGATCTGTGTGTTTATTTTCAGAGCTCATCATGGTCTGCGTCTCCCTCCGTGTCCAAGTGAGCGTCCTCATCACTCCCCATTGATGCGCAGTGATGCGTTTCCTGCTCTTGAGGTCTCTGTGTGTGTGTGTGTGTGTGTGTGGCCCTGCAGGAGTTCAGTCGTGTCTCCCGTGAGCTCAGGATCCGGATCGCTCGTCGTTCCTCAGCACATCCAGCAGGCGGCGGCGTCTTACGTTAGCATCACCACCCTCTTCCTCAGCGCTCACGAGACCTGGGAGCAGGCCGACGACCTCATGACCTCAGGCACCGGTAAGGTCAAAGGTCACAGGAAGCTGAGCTAAATCTGTCTTTAGGAGTGGGTTTGTCCAAAGCCCGTCTACGGAGAGCCTTGGCACTTCCTATTAGCCCCGTTGTGTATCATCTTGGTTGCAGTTCCATTAGAGCTCCACTGGAGGCGATCGCGGGCGAGTGCAGAATGAATGGGAGTTTATGGAGCTAACGGCTGTGTCTCTTTCTCCTGCTTGTCGTTGAAACAACATAGATTTTATTGTTGATTCCACAAGTTCAATATACCGGTAGATTATAGACCAAAAGTCGAATAAATGAGGACTTATGTCCTTTCGATTTCTTACAGGTTGGGCCGTTGTTGGCCGGAACACGCTAGCATTCTGCTATTATGTGACGTCATCACATTTTTGAACAGATTTTTAGAACAGATACGTGAACTTAAAAATGCAGTTTTCAGCTGAGTGTATTATCTTAGCCCTCCCTTTTGAATGCAACTTTCAGATTACTTGACAAAAAATTACATCCTGAGAAAAGTGGATTTCTGGGGGTGAAACCCCATAGACTCCCATTCATTCTGCACTCGCCCGCCAGCGCCCCCGCATGGACAGAGAGTGTCACTGCAGCCAGCCCAGAACCCGGAAGTAACCAGACAGTGCCAGTTCTCTCCTATTAGACATTCTCTGGTTTGTCCCCACAGGAAACTTCTGTCACACACTGAGGTCATGAAAGGTTCGGGAATAGTAGAGATTAAAATATTTCATTGACATTTTGTGTGTGTGTGTGTGTGTGTGTGTGTGTGTGTGTGTGTGTGAGAGTGAGTGAGAGAGTGGCAGGGGTTATTTGAGTGAGTGAGTGTGTGTGTGTGTGTGTGTGTATGTGTGAGAGAGTGAGTGAGAGAGTGGCAGGGGTTATTTGAGTGAGTGAGTATACATGCATAATTTTTATAATGCTATCAAATCCATCTACGGTCCAACAAATCGCTGTGTCACTTCCCTGAAAACAGCTGATGGTCAAACACTTCTGAAGGACCAGAATAGTATCCTACTGAGGTGGGCTGACCATTTTGACACCCTGCTTAATCAGGACTCTGATGCAGACCCCACCATCCTGGACGAACTGCCTGAACTTCCTCCCATCCAGATCTCAGTCTACCACCAACCTTCCAGGAGGTTCTATCATCTGTCCGTTCCCTTAAGAACAACAAGTCCCCTGGCGCTGATAACATCCCTGCTGAGCTACTGAAGGAGGGAGGGTACATATGTATGCGCACCCTCTACCAGTACATCACCAAGGCCTGAACTGATGAGAACATCCCACGGCAATGGAGAGATGCAAACATTGTAGTCATCTACAAGAACAAGGGTGACAAGGCTGTATGCGGCAATAGCAGGGGCATATCACTCCTTCAGCTGGTGCTAAGGTCATGGCCAAAGTGCTGCATCAGAGGCTTATTAACAACATCACTGAGTCAATGCTGGAAGAATCACAGTGTGGGTTTAGAAAGAACAGGAGCACGATCGACATGATCTTCACAGCCCGGCAGCTTCAGGAAAAGTGCCGGGAGCAACATCAGGACGTTTATGGCCTTTGTCGATCTCTCGAAAGCATTCGACACTGTGCAAAGAGAGCTCTTATGGGATGTCCTCCTCAGGTTTGGATGTCCAGATAAGTTTGTTAACATCCTCCGCCAATTCCATGATGGGATGACTGCTCGGGTGACCGTAGGCGGACAAGAGTCTGAGCCATTCCCTGTACGCACAGGGGTGAGGCAGGGGTGTGTGTTAGCGCCAGTGCTCTTTAACATCTTCCTCCTGTGTGTCACCAAGCTTCTCCACAATGAGATTGAAAACAGCAGAGGTGTGGCAGTGGACTTCAGATTAGATGGCAACCTCTTTAACATTAGGAGGCTACATGCAACAACAAAAATCAGCAGAGAGCAGGTCCTGGAGCTACAGTATGCAGACGATTGTGCTTTTGTGGCCCATACTCCGGAGGATCTTCAAACTGTCCTTGCTGTGGCGGTGAGGGCGTACAGCAGGATGGGGCTGGACAGAAGTGGTCTGCCAATGTCCCACCCACATCTCCTGCCTTCACTGTTGGAGATGAACAGTTGTCAGTAGTGCCATCTTTCAAATATCTGGGGAGTTTTCTCTCTGAGGATAGCAGCATCGACAATGAAATCCAGAGCCGAATTAAACAGGCATCAGCTGCCTTTGGGAGACTTCGATGCAGAGTCTTTCATAATAAGAACCTTCATCCCTCCACAAAGGTCGCCGTATACCAAGCGGTCTGTGTCACCACCCTCCTCTATAGCTGTGAAGCATGGGTAACCTACTGCCGTCACATCAAGTCCTTAGAGCAATCCCGCATAAGCTGCCTTCAGCGCATTCTGGGAATTACCCGGCGTAATCAGGTACCTCACACTGAAATACTTAAAAAGTAGGGATGCAACGATACCGCTTTTTCAAAACCGATCCGATCCGATCCCAAAATTCTGAGTATCGGCCGATACCGATACCAATCCGATACCAGTGCAGTTTTTTTTTTAAATCAAGTAGAATTTCTATAACTCTGTGTGTTGAACTGATAATCACTCTTTTGTGTGTTAAACACAATCTACTTAACACAGACAACTTAATTTTAAAGAAAAACAACAAATCCAAAAAATATATGATCATAATCTGTGACAAAAATGCTATAATAAACTAGATTAGTGGATAATTCAGCAGTGCAATTTAGTCTAGAAAAATCATGAGTGCACAATAATTGTATAAAATCTGAACATTTAGTGAAGAAAATTTAGGGGAACAAATAAGAGACAATAAGTGTAACACTAAATCTGGTCAAACATTACACATTGCTCTTTGTATTGTTGTAAAATACATTCATGAAAAACAAGATAACAAAAATCAAAAAGATAAATTATTATATATAGCCTGTATAGGCTACTATAAAATTGAGACATGTTTTAAATGTATAGAACAGCTGTTTAATGAGGCAGCAACATATGATAGATAGGACAGAACAAGAAAGGCTATTAATAATCTTTCATTGCGCAAAAGTAGTATTATATGATTATGAAAGGATCCAATACAGTGCGGCACACAGCGCTTATGCGCATCCCGAGCGCAGAATGATGCGCTTGAAGCAACACGGAGTCACAGCGCGCAGCGCGTCGAATCCGCATTGAACAGTTCAAAGCACAAAGGAAAGACATATCGATGCGTAGTGTATTATACACAGTATCTATGCAATCGTTTATTGAGCCTTTTCTTTTAACAGTTTTAAATTTCAGTTACTGTGCGCGTGAAGAACAATTATAGTGCTCTCTGACTCTAGGCTACTCTGTTGCGATCTAACAGACGCCCGGTAGAAAGTAACATGATTTAGTTACAGCAATAAAGTCCAGCAATATAAAGTTGTTTTATGCTAAACCATAGACCTTTATCTACAGATCAAGAATAATAATAGTAACATTGAATCATCTTGATCTTGGAGAGTTTCATCGTGTTGCCTGTCGTAACAGAACGCGACGCGCTGTTAAATGCTGAATGGAGAATGACTGACAGCCGCAGCGGAGGGAAAAAGTTTACGAGGTCTTGAATTTAATGACTTAAATATTAATTTTTATCTCACATTATACTATATAATGGCTTCAGAACACTTATAAGATAGTGCACGAAAACTTTATGGTACTTGATAATGTTTTTGTGCCTTTTGTGGGGCTTAACAATAACACAGAATAATACGCACAATATCGGATTTGGATCGGCCTCCTCTGACCGATACCCGATCCGGCAAAAATGGCAGTATCGGAGCCGATACCGATACTGAGTATCGGATCGATGCATCCCTATTAAAAAGGCGAACTGCAGAAGTACTGAGGCCATTATTACCCAGCGCCAACTGCAGTGGTTGGGGCATGTGATAAGGATGCCCCCATGTCGTCTGCCCCGCAGGGTACTATATGGCCAGTTACATCATGGTCAACGCTCAGCTGGGGGTCCGAAGAAGCGCTATAAAGATCAGATGAAGAACGCCTTGAGAAAGTGTAAGATCAGACCTGAGGATCTGGAGGATATTGCTGCTGACCGCATCATCTGGCGACAGCTATGTGGAGAGGGGGTTTGTACACTAGAGATGGAGAGGACAACCAGAAAACAGCAGAAGCGAGCCAGGAGAAAGGCAGCCATAGCAGCCAATGTGACCACCACCACCATCACATACATATGCCCCACCTGCCATAGAGCTTGTGGGTCCAGGACAGGACTGTTTAGTCATCAAAGATCTCACCGTTAAAGGCGTGGACGTCATCATCGGATCTCGATGGACAACCGAGAAGTGTGTGTGAGTGAGTGAGAGAGTGACAGGGGTTAGTTGAGTGAGTGTGGGTGTGTGTATGTGGTTCTGGTGTGTGTGTGTGTATGTGGTTCTGGTTCTGGTGTGTGAGTGTGTTTGGTTCTGGTTCTGGTGTGTGGTTCTGGTTCTGGGGTGTGTGTGTGTGTGTTTGGTTCTGGTTCTGGTGTGTGGTTCTGGTTCTGGGGTGTGAGTGTGTGGTTCTGGTTCTGGTGTGTGTGTGTGTGTGTGTGTTTGGTTCTGGTTCTGGGGTGTGAGTGTGTGGTTCTGGTTCTGGTGTGTGTGTGTGTGTGGTTCTGGTTCTGGTGTGTGTGTGTGTGTGTGTGTTTGGTTCTGGTTCTGGGGTGTGAGTGTGTGGTTCTGGTTCTGGTGTGTGTGTGTGTGTGTGTGTGTGTGTTTGGTTCTGGTTCTGGGGTGTGAGTGTGTGGTTCTGGTTCTGGTGTGTGTGTGTGTGTGTGTTTGGTTCTGGTTCTGGTGTGTGGTTCTGGTTCTGGGGGGTGTGTGTGTGTGTGTGTTTGTGTTTGGTTCTGGTTCTGGTGTGTGGTTCTGGTTCTGGGGTGTGAGTGTGTGGTTCTGGTTCTGGTGTGTGTGTGTGTGTGTGTGTGTGTGTGTGTGTGTGGTTCTGGTTCTGGTGTGTGTGTGTGTGTGTGTGTGGTTCTGGTTAATGATATGAGTGTTGTGTTTCTGCAGGTTTGCTGCGAGAGCTGGATTCATCCGTCGCTCCTCTGAGTCTGACGGCCTCCATGATCTCGTTAGTGACATACATTCGTCTCGGGCTCCACCGGATCAGACGCGCCACACAGAACCAGAACCAGCCCTGATCACCTGATTCCCAGAGGAGGAGAGGAGGATGAAGAGAGATTGATCGTCAACAGCTCTTGAAACTCTTCATCTGAAACGTGATCATGACGATGTTCCCCAAACCCGCGGGTCGTCCTGCTCATCTGACACGGGTCCTCTTCTGCTCCAACACAAGTGTTGATGAACCCAAAGTCCAGCAGCTTCTCTTCTCACCAGCTCGTGTGTGTGTGTGTGTGTGTGTCAGTTTAAATGCTTTGTGTGACACACACACACACTGTACAGTGACACTGTAAGAGCAGCAAGTGCCTTTATTTTGTATTTGCTTACGGTTAGTTGATCAGATCTAGTGTCAAGAATTGCAATGCAAATGTTTTTGATTTCTAGTATTTATATCATCACATGTGACCTTTGACCCATTAGAGAAGCAGTGGTAGTTACAGAAAATGATGCTGGAGATGTTTGCATATACAGCCGATGGGCCTGACCTCTGACCTCTGACCTCTGGAGCTTTTCTCATGATTGTCTCTCTTTAATGTTGATCCAGATGTTGTTTGGCCAAATATGTGATTTTGTCTTTTTCTCCTTTTTTGGCAGCGAGCAAAGGTATTATTGTATTTATTTGTGTTAGCAGATATTTCTTGTATCATTTTTGATCAAGTGCAGAAATTATTTTCAGAACAGTCGATTGGTTGGCCGCTTGTTCTCGATAGCGGCTCCTCATTGGTCAAATCTTTCGGCACTTTTTAACTCGAGCACCAAGTGTTTCCTGTTTCCATCAGTAATTCCTTTTCCTCCCCGTCTCGGGTCCAGAGCAGCAGAGGATGATTGACACATGGAGGATGATTGACTCCCAGAGGATGATTGTCACCTGGAGGATGATTGACACCTGGAGGATGATTGACACCTGGAGGATGATTGACACCTGGAGGATGATTGACACCTGGAGGATGATTGACACCTGGAGGATGATTGACACCTGGAGGATGATTGTCACCTGGAGGATGATTGTCACCTGGAGGATGATTGACACCTGGAGGATGATTGACAGCCAGAGGATGATTGACACATGGAGGATGATTGACTCCCAGAGGATGATTGTCACCTGGAGGATGATTGACACCTGGAGGATGATTGACACCTGGAGGATGATTGACACCTGGAGGATGATTGACACCTGGAGGATGATTGACACCTGGAGGATGATTGTCACCTGGAGGATGATTGTCACCTGGAGGATGATTGACACCTGGAGGATGATTGACAGCCAGAGGATGATTGACAGCCAGAGGATGATTGACACCTGGAGGATGATTGACACCTGGAGGATGATTGACACCTGGAGGATGATTGACAGCCAGAGGATGATTGACACCCAGAGGATGATTGACTCCCAGAGGATGATTGACTCCCAGAGGATGATTGACAGCCAGAGGATGATTGACAGCCAGAGGATGATTGACAGCCAGAGGATGATTGACAGCCAGAGGATGATTCAGAGGATGATTGACAGCCAGAGGATGATTGACAGCCAGAGGATGATTGACAGCCAGAGGATGATTCAGAGGATGATTGACAGCCAGAGGATGATTGACAGCCAGAGGATGATTGACAGCCAGAGGATGATTGACAGCCAGAGGATGATTGACAGCCAGAGGATGATTGACACCCAGAGGATGATTGACACCCAGAGGATGATTGACACCCAGAGGATGATTTAAATGTTTTGATTAGAATACTGTAGAAATGAACCATCAGTATGAAACTATATCTATTTATGTTATACCCCATGATTGTGCAGTGGGAGTTTCGGTTGGTTTTCTACAACCTTATCAAACTCATAAAGGGCAAAAGTCTGATTTGATTAATTGCCGAATCTTAATTGAAAATGTGTTAGTGTGTCACATTGTGTTTGTGAAAAAAGAAAAGAAACTGTAGTTTTGGTGCCTTATTCCCTTTTTTCGGGTGACTGAGTTCAGTCGACTTATATTGAGGACTGAAGACCCTTTTCTCAGGATCCATTTGGATATGAATTGAATAAATCTTTATTATCCTTTATTATCTGTTCTCATTTGTCTTTGGCACCTCACAGGTTATTCATGACAAAAATATATTAATCACAAAAATAAAATCGTTCAATAAACCAACTGACAGTGAGATAAAGGATCTCTTAAAAATAATGTCACTGCTTTTCGTGTGCCTTCCTGATATGAGAGATCATCTACTGTCATAAACTGAAGGTTTTCCTCGTTAGCTGTTCTACTTCATTAACTTTTATTGCTTTGGCCTATATTTACAGAGCAGCTCGTGATGTTCCTCAGACCATCTCGAGCACAGAAACGTCCATTTCCCCAAAACATGACTAGCTATTTACTATTCATCAATTCAAATCCAAGATATTTCAAGATATTTCAACTTACATTTAGTCATTTAGCAGATGCTTTTATCCAAAGCGACTTACAACTGAGGACTAAACCAAGCGAGTCATCGTGAAGAGGCAAAAACAATACAAGAAGTGCTCAAAATACAAAGTTCACTCGGAGTAGCATAAGCCAGACAAGCGAGGATTTAAAGGAAAAGGAAAGATTTTTTTCTTTTTTTCTTCTTACTTTCCTAACTTTTTCTAACAAGCTGATGGTTGATAACAGGAGAGCGCTTTCACTCATGGCTTTAATGAGTTGCTCTGACAGCGCTTTATTAAAGTATTCATTAGAGTCACATCTCTCTGCATTAACCAGTTCAACATGACCATCAGAATCAATGAATCTGCACTTCATTAGTTTGAGGAGAATGAAAACATTTACAATGATTCTTTCAGACAGAAGATCTCTAACCGAAACACTGTTGGATAAGAAATCTATAGTCTACATTAAACAATTTTGCCAGTTCATAAGGCCCTATTGCAGAAATAAAATGTATAATTAATAGAATTAAAAGTACTGAACTACAATCATTACACTCGCTGATGTTCAGTGATCTGTGTCACTGTTGCTCTTCAGAGTTTGTGCATCTCATGTAAACACAGGCTTGATTTGTGTTTTCAGCAACGCCTCCACCAGCTGCCAATCAAAGATGCTTTATCTTTATATTTTACTTTCATAAAGTAATTGAAATACGGTAGTTACACTACGTATTACTTGTAACTTGTAATCTGTAACCTATTACACTTCCAAAGTAACCTTCCCAACACTGTGTAGAACACAACAGTACAACAAAAACAAACTAATTTGTAAATGTATTCTTTTTTTCATGCATTTATTCTTAGACTCACATTTATTTTATTCACATTTAATAGCCTACATTATCAATTTAAATGGTTAATGCGAACATATGTGACACCAGTGGAACTCTGTCGATATAATGGAAACATTCCTGATGTGTGTTCAAAGTGTAACCAATGTAAAGGAACACTGGTTCCCTGTATGTGGCATTGTACAAAAATTACACTCTTTTGGGAAGAAATAAGAGACATTATTGATGGACAACCATCAATGAAAATGAACGTACATTTATAGACCTTAGTCTGCTTAATGCCAAAAGATGTATAGCTTTATTTTGGAAAAAAAACATGTAGACCAAGAGGCACTTTCTGGTTCCGGCAGATGCTGTCTGCTCTGCCCTAGAGAGGATTACATATGTGCTAAAAGGCTAACAAGAACTATTTGAGAATATCTGGAATACTTTTATTGAATATGCCAAAGATTTGGATTTAACAGATGACAATGACTGAGATGTGTGGACACTGCAGTTCACTTCTGGACAATCATTTGTATCACTTGATTTGTACAACTCATTTATTTTATTTTATATCTTTTATTTTAAAGAAAAGTGGTGAATATTTGTAGGCTGTTGCATTGTACAGGGATGGCTTTCTGATAGGCATTGTGGTTGTTTGCCTTGTGTTTGTGTATGCACAAAACTCAATAAATATATTCTGGCAAAAAAAAGCCTACATTAACTAAGTAATGGCATGTGAAAGACTATTATTAGGTTAAATAGTTGTATTGCCTTATATAGTTTTCGTAACACAAACTGAATTATTATTATTTTTGTTTTATTTTTTTATGAAACAATCAAACATGTCTGGGTCATCTGGGACGCAAAAGGCCGATTGTCCACCAGATGTCGTTAGTGTGAAGCGTGTTGAAAAGCCTCGAGTAATTAACCATTGGACGATACAGTTGAGGGGAAAGCCTAAGTTTCCCGTCACTAATTGGCGGCTTCACTTTTCTACAACGGTCCATCTTTTCTCTACGTGGCTCTGGTTCCAGCAAGCTGTCAGATGGGTTCTCAAACGGACTGATTTTGATTGACGTTTCCTTTGGACTCCAATTCCCAGAGTTCATAGCGCTTCAGAACGCGGAAGTTCCGCCGTGGTTCATCGTGAGTTCTGCAGCTGCTGCTGAAAATGTGGTAAAACATCGACAAAAACATTACAATTCACACATCTAATTCAAATTAAGTTTTCTTTAACGTCGAACCGTCAGAAAGGCTAATCTCTGTCAGTTCATGTACTTGAATCCGTCTTGTTTGTTGTGTTGACATTTTAGCTAGTGCTGTCGTGTTTTGTTTTACTACAGAAAACAAAAACTTGTTAAAATGAATGTATACGGAATATTCACGAAAATTGTCCAACAACTTTGAAGTGATTACTCATACAATAAAAACTACATAAAATGGCTTATTCATTGATAACATTCAGTGTCTTTGACGATGATGATCTCGTTAATTTCAAATAATATATGTATGTATTTGTGTAGTCTTATTCCTTGAAGGGATAAAGTGTAATTTATGTAATATCTGATCAAATCCCAGCTTTCAAAAGACCGCATGTAACAATAGACGGCATGAAATCTTTATTGTACTTAAATGTTTCTGACGGTCAGTGATGGTCATCTGAACATGTTTATGATTGATATAGTTATGATCATCTGAACATGTTTATGATTGATATAGTTATGATCATCTGAACATGTTTATGATTGATATAGTTATGATCATCTGAACATGTTTATGATTGATATAGTTATGATCATCTGAACATGTTTATGATTGATATAGTTATGATCTGTTTGAATCTGTTAAAAGAGTCTGTTTCTCAGTTTTTAAAAAATCACTGCACTGTGAATCTTGAACGAAGAATTATCTCTGCATTTGTGTGTGTGAGTGAGAGAGTGTGTCTGTGTGTGTCTGTTTGTGAGTTTGTTTGTGTGGGCGCGTATGTGTGTGTCTGTTTGCGTGTCAAGTCATCTTCATTTATATAGCGCTTTTAACAATGTAGATTGTTCCAAAGTGGCTTTACAGTGATAATAGGAAATTAAAGTAACAGATTGTCTTGGCTTTATGGCAGCTGTAGAATAAAGTTATTTATTCTACAGGATCCGGCCTGGATCCGGCGGACTGCGGTAAACCTCGGGATAAACAGAGAGACTAATATTAGCGTAGACGCCATTCTTCTTATGATGTAGCGAGTACATCAGGATTTATGGGAAGTGTTCCCAGTTCCGGCTGACCTAATCTATGCAGTCTAACATTGAATTATAGAAGTCTATAGTGTGTTATGTGTATGCTAGGCCAAAGAGATGTGTTTTTAGTCTAGCTTTGAACTGACAGAGTGTGTCTGCTTCCCGGACAATGGTAGGAAGACTGTTCCAGAGTTTTGGTGCTAAATAGGAAAAGGATCTCCCGCCAGCAGTCGATTTAGATATTCTAGGTATTATCAACTGGCCGGAGTTTTGAGATTGCAATAGACGTGAAGGACTATAATGCGTTAAGAGCTCGCTCAAGTACTGGGAGCTAAACCATTTAGTGCTTTGTAAGTAATCAACAATATTTTATCATTTATACGATGTTTAATAGGGAGCCAATGCAGTGTTGACAGAACCGGGCTAATATGGTCATATTTCCTGATTCTGGTAAGAACTCGAGCTGCTGCGTTTTGGACCAGCTGGAGTTTGTTTATTAAGCGTGCAGGGCAACCACCCAGTAGAGCATTACAGTAATCTAGCCTTGATGTCATGAACGCATGAACTAATTGTTCCGCATTCGTCATTGAGAGCATATGGCGTAATTTAGATATGTTTTTTAGATGGTAGAATGCGGTTTTACAGATACTAGACACGTGACTTTCAAATGAAAGATTGGTATCAAAGAGCACACACACACACACACACACACGTTTCTAACCGACGACGAGGACTTGACAGAGCAGCCATCAAGTGTTAGTCAGTATTCTAGGTTATTACGTGAGGAAGTTTTTTGTTCAATCGCTGTTTTTTCAGAGTTAAGCAGTAGGAAATTACTAGTCATCCAGTTTTTTTATATCGGCTATGCATTCCGTTAATTTTGTGGATTGGTAAGTTTCGTCAGAGCGTGAAGAAATATACAGCTGAGTATCATCAGCATAACAGTGAAAACTAATGCCATGCTTCCTAATGATATCTCCTAAGGGTAGCGTGTGTGTGTGTGTGTAGCATGTACAGAGAGAGTGTGTGTGTGTAGCGTGTGTGTGTGTGTGTGTGTGTGTGTGTGTGTGTAGCATGTACAGAGAGTGTGTGTGTGTAGCGTGTGTGTGTGTGTGTGTGTGTGTGTAGCACAAGTGAACAGCAACGGTCCTAGTACTGAGCCTTGTGGTACGCCATACTGAACTTGTGATCGATAAGACATCTCTTCATTTACTGCTACAAACTGATAACGGTCAGATAAGTATGATTTAAACCATGCTAGTGCAACTCCACTAATGCCAACATAGTTTTCTAGTCTATTTAAAATAATGTTGTGGTCAATAGTATCAAATGCAGCACTAAGATCGAGTAACACTAATAAAGAGATACAACCACGATCGGATGATAAGAGCAGATCATTTGAGACTCTGATGAGAGCGGTCTCAGAACTTAGGGCCCTATAATTTCCGCGATCACGATTACAACTTCTGATTTCAATAGAAGTTGTAATCGGAACAAAAGATCGGAACAGAAGAGCGGTGTTCACACACACCACATATCTATCTGAACACCAGAGGGCGACACACACACACACACACACACACACACACACACCACATACCACATATCCCTCTGAACACCAGAGGGTGACACACACACACACACACACACACCACATATCCATCTGAACACCAGAGTGCGCTCTCACACAGACACGCTAAATATGCCCCACTGTAGAAGTACGATAACACACATCATTCCAGGAAATCTCTATCGGCATCAGACTCTCTGTATCTGAATAAACAGAAGATTGAAACGCTTTGATTAAACATGTCTAATGAACACACGACTGCCTTATTCTGTGTGAGAAGCGCATCATCTCACAGGAGGACGAGCTCAACTGTCCTGATGAAGTGATTTTGGAGGAAAAGCATGTTATTAAATGTTGTCTTTTGTGGGACAAGAGGTTCATAAATGCTTCTCATGTTTGGAAAGATGTTTGACGCGTGTTGCTTTTTCACGTTATACGTTATAAGCGACTCGAACTCGCAGTGTTTACAGAGCCGATCATCACTGACAAGCTGCGCATAACTAATAATCACAGCATTGCATTTTAAAATCGTGATAAGCCAAATCGGTTTAAGTGCGATTACATGTAAATAGCGATTAATAGTGCAGCCCTAGTGTGTGTGTGTGTGTGTGTCTATTATGAAATCCATTACGAGGAGCCGTTTATACGAACAGCATGTCAATTTTGGGATTTAACACTCGACTCATTTGTGATGTATGGTATTGTGTTGGATGTCAGTGTGTTTTGTGCTCAGAGGAGATTCTGTCTGCCAGTCTTTAACCGAAGTGTGTCCAGAATTCTGTCCATTTACAGACCGTAAACGCATGTGTGTATGTGCAGGTGTTGGCGTGTGTGAGCGAGACATGCTGTCTGAACATGGGAAGCAGCAGAAACGCTCGTCGAACAGCGAGGGCGAGGTGGACGGGTCGTTCGTGTTCGAAGCCCAAGAGGCCTGGAAGGACTTCCACAACTCGCTCCGACAGTTCTATGAGAACGGAGAACTGTGTGACGTCACTCTGAAGGTACGGAACAGCGTGAGGTCCGTGTCACAATCATCTCATCCTAAATGTCTCCCTTTTCTTTTTCCCCGAAGGTTGGAAACAGACTCATACCATGTCACAAACTAGTTCTGGCCTGCGTTGTTCCATACTTCCGTGCCATGTTCCTCTCAGACATGGCCGAGGCCAAACAGGACCTGATTGAGATCCGGGATTTCGACGCTGACGCCATCCAGGACCTGGTGGGATTCGCGTACTCGTCGCGGCTGACGCTGACGGTGGATAACGTTCAGCCGCTGCTGTACGCCGCCTGTATCCTGCAGGTGGAGCTGATCGCACGCGCTTGCTGCGAGTACATGAAGGCTCACTTCCACCCCTCCAACTGCCTGGCCGTTCGCACGTTTGCAGAGAGTCACAACAGGGTGGATCTGATGGACATGGCCGACCGGTACGCGTGTGAGCATTTTAGCGAAGTGGTGGAGTGTGAGGATTTCATCTGCGTTTCACCACAGCACCTGAAGACACTGCTGGCCTCCAGCGACCTCAACATTCAGTCCGAGACTCAAGTGTACAACGCCGCGGTCAAGTGGCTGAAAGCTAATCCGAAGCACCACGACATCTGGCTGGATCAGATCATGTCTCAGGTGAGCCACTCATGTTTTGCAAGGTCTTTTCAATAAATAAACTTGACCTGCTGTAATATCCTGCCAGATCCTGCTTCCATGCAAATCCAGCAGATCCCAACACACATTGTACAAGTTTATTATATTAGATAAGTCCCTAAAACGGCCGTTTCACGCCACAAGGTTGAGCTTCACGTAAGCGTAACTACATCATCACTGCAGATGTGCGAGAGGATTCACACTGGAAGCGTTTGTACAGCAGCAGAAGCTTAAAGCTACATAAGTGAGCATTTCTTTACAAACACAACTATATCTATTTTTTTAAGTTGGTCACTTATAAACTTGATAATATCCAAAGTTTATTAATATGAGGTGTGTACAATCACATGTAATTGGTAAACAACAAACACAACCAAGAAAAAATCTCTGATCATGTTGTTTCATGACACGGGTTTGATTTGGGTTGAGCTAGAGCCTATATAGGCTTCCTGTCTGTATTTTAATGAACTAAAAAAAGTAAATATATATTTTCTGGCTGTAGTTTTTTTAACACCACACTTTCACCCAAACTGAATAATTAAAAACTAGTTTAAATGGGTAAATCTTCTATAAATATATTTGATTCTTCATTTTCTTTTCTGACATACTCCAGTTCTTGTTAAAACACACTAGACATGCGACATGGGAATTGGAGACGTGTGAAATCATATTTATTTTGTCCATCAAAAGTCTGCAGGAGCTGCGCAGCAAAAATAGACTCGGCCAAAACCCCTGCTTCACTGCTGCTCACATGCTCCTGTTTATGTTCCTGCTCTTGCTGCTGCTTCAGCTCCTGCTCCTGCTCCTGCTCCTGCTCTTGTTCTTGCTCTTGCTCTTGCTCCTGCTCTTGCTCTTGCTCTTGTTCTTGCTCTTGCTCTTGCTCTTGCTCTTGCTCTTGCTCCTGCTCCTGCTCTTGCTCCTGCTCTTGTTCTTGCTCTTGCTCTTGCTCTTGCTCCTGCTCCTGCTCTTGCTCTTGCTCTTGCTCTTGTTCTTGTTCTTGCTCTTGCTCTTGCTCTTGCTCTTGCTCCTGCTCCTGCTCCTGCTCCTTCTCTTGCTCTTGCTCTTGCTCTTGCTCCTGCTCCTGCTCCTGCTCCTGCTCCTTCTCTTGCTCTTCCTCTTGTTCTTGCTCTTGCTCTTGCTCCTGCTCCTTCTCCTGCTCCTGCTCCTGCTCCTTCTCTTGCTCTTCCTCTTGTTCTTGCTCTTGCTCTTGCTCTTGCTCTTGCTCCTGCTCCTGCTCCTGCTCATGCTCATGCTCATGCTCCTTCTCTTGCTCTTGCTCTTGCTCTTGCTCCTGCTGCTGCTTCAGCTCCTGTTCCTGCTCCTGCTCTTGCTACTGTTTATGTTCCTGCTCCTGGTGTTCCTGTTCCTGCTCCTATTCCTGCTTCTGTTCATGTTCATTTTCCTGCTCTTGCTGCTGCTTCAGCTCCTGTTCCTGCTCCTGTTCCTGTTCTTGTTCCTGCTCCTGTTCATGTTCCTGCTCTTGCTGCTGCTCCTATTCCTGCTTCTCTTCCGGCTCCTGTTCATGTTCCTGCTCTTGCTGCTGCTCCTATTCCTGCTTCTCTTCCGGCTCCTGTTCATGTTCCTGCTCTTGCTGCTGCTCCTATTCCTGCTTCTCTTCCGGCTCCTGTTCCTGCTCCTGTTCCTGCTTCTGTTCCTGCTCTTGCTGCTGCTCCTGTTCCTGCTCCTCTTCCGGCTCCTGTTCCTGCTCCTGTTCCTACTTCTGTTCCTGCTTCTGTTCCTGCTCTTGCTCTTGCTGCTGCTTCAGCTCCTGTTCCTGCTCCCACTCCTGCTCTTGCTGCTGCTTCAGCTCCTGTTCCTGCTCCTGCTCCTGCTCCTGCTCCTGTTCCTGCTCCTGCTCCTGTTCCTGTTCCTGTTCCTGTTCCTGTTCCTGCTCCTTTTCCTGCTCCCGCTCCTGTTGCTTCAGCTTCTGTTCCTGCTCATGTTCCTGCTCCTGTTCCTGCTCCTTTTCCTGCTCCTGCTCTTGCTCCTGCTCCTGTTCCTGTTCTTGCTCTTGCTGCTGCTTCAGCTCCTGTTCATGTTCCTGCTCCTGTTCCTGCTCCAGCTCTTGGTGCTGCTTCAGCTCCTGTTCCTGCTCCTGCTCCTGCTCCCACTCCTGCTCTTGCTGCTGCTTCAGCTCCTGTTCATGTTCCTGCTCCTTCTCCCACTCCTGCTCGTGGTGCTGCTTCAGCTCCTGTTCCTGCTCCTGCTCCTGTTCCTGCTCCTGCTCCTGCTCTTGCTGCTGCTTCAGCTCCTGTTCATGTTCCTGCTCCTTCTCCCACTCCTGCTCTTGGTGCTGCTTCAGCTCCTGCTCCTGTTCCTGCTCCTGCTCCTGCTCCTGCTCCTGCTCCTTTTCCTGCTCCCGCTCCTGCTGCTTCAGCTTCTGTTCCTGTTCCTGCTCCTTTTCCTGCTCCTGCTCCTGTTCCTGTTCTTGCTCTTGCTGCTGCTTCAGCTCCTGTTCATGTTCCTGCTCCTGTTCCTGCTCCAGCTCTTGGTGCTGCTTCAGCTCCTGTTCCTGCTCCCACTCCTGCTCTTGCTGCTGCTTCAGCTCCTGTTCATGTTCCTGCTCCTTCTCCCACTCCTGCTCTTGGTGCTGCTTCAGCTCCTGTTCCTGCTCCTGCTCCTGCTCCTGCTCCTGTTCCTGCTCCTTTTCCTGCTCCCGCTCCTGCTGCTTCAGCTTCTGTTCCTGCTCCTGTTCCTGTTCCTGTTCTTGCTCCTGCTCCTGCTCCTGTTCCTGTTCTTGCTCCTGCTGCTGCTTCTGTTCCTGATCTTGCTGCTGCTTCAGCTCCTGTTCATATTCCTGCTCCTGTTCCTGCTCCAGCTCTTGGTGCTGCTTCAGGCCCTGGTCCTGTTCCTGTTCCTGTGCCTGCTCCTGCTCCTGTTCATGTTCCTGCTCCTACTCCAGCTCCTGTTCTTGTTCCTGCTCCTGTTCATGTTCCTGCTCCTGCTCCTGTTCCTGCTCCTACTCCTGCTCCTGTTCCTGCTCCAGCTCTTGCTGCTGCTTCAGCCCCTGCTCCTGCTCCTGTTCCTGCTCCTGTTCATGTTCCTGCTCCTGTTCATGTTCCTGCTCCTGTTCATGTTCCTGCTCCTGTTCCTGCTCCTGTTCCACCTCCTGCTCCTGTTCCAGTTTGTGCTCCTGCTCCTGCTTGATGCACATACGCTGCTCCTGCTCCCAGTGTGAATGCACTCATTGGTTAAAATGCACGCCGGAAAAAAATACTCGCTGCTCATGCGTCACTCACGCTTGCGGACGGCTATAAATGAAAGTGCAGGTAGCCAGGCATCGTTTGAGTGCTTGACCATGCGCCTGTATAAATGCGACCCCCACCTTCTCAAATTATCACATTTGGTTGCAGTCTAGAGCCCTGTGAAGTCCAACAGAAGTGTCAGTATGGCTGGACCTGTGGAAACATGGTCAAATGTTGAAGTGTGCCGCACAGTCCAGTTTCCCTGTGTAACCATGTACAGATTCAGAAACAGGCTTGGATCTTTTTGAGGTCTTGTTAGCAAATTTATTGAAAGGCACTTGTATTCATGCTAGTTTATATTTTCAGATTTTTTCTTAATCTTATAGAAGCATCCTGATCTGATGGGCTTTTCTCACACAGGTGCGTCTTCCTCTGCTGCCGGTGGATTTCCTCACATCCACTGTTGCCAAAGAGGAGATGATCAAGGCCAATCTGAACTGCAGAGATCTTTTGGATGAGGCTCGCAACTATCATTTGCACCTTAGTAACAAGAGCGTTCCTGACTTTGAGTATTCAATCCGTACGACACACCGCAAACACACCGCAGGTCAGGACATTCGGCCCTGCTTCTTTTTCACACTTGTGTAGTTTAGTCTTTTCTATCATTCGACATTTAAACCTCTGGGAACCTGCTATACTTTTGACAGGTGTGTTGTTCTGTGTTGGGGGACGGGGGGGATCCGGTGACCCGTTCCGCAGTATCGAGTGTTACTCCATCAGTAAAAACAGCTGGTTCTTCGGCCCTGAAATGAACAGCAGACGGAGACACGTGGGAGTGATTTCAGTGGCAGGTGAGAAAGATATGAAAAGCAAATAAAAGCAGTGATTTATAGAGAAGAAAGTTTGTAAAAGAATGATTCAAAGATGAAAATATTTTATTTGTTGTTAAGAGATACTTTCACTTATGTCCTTTTTCAGGTGGCCTTTAGATTTGTAGGTTTAAACATCAGCGTAGAAGTATTGTAACTAGAGAGAGGCTATATGAACTAGGGCTGTGCGATTTATATCTTATGCTTTAGACTCTACTGTACATGTCAAGTCACCTTTATTTATAAAGCGCTTTTTACAATACAGATTGTTTCAAAGTAGCTTTACAGTGATAGCAGGAAAATAGTGCAACAAAGTTTGTTTCGGCTGTACAGCAGATCTAGAAGAAAATACCGTCAGAGTCCAGCTTAAGATAGTGGATAATGGATCTGAACATCTGCACCTTCCAACACTGTTAGAAATGAATCAGATTTTGTTCTTCATTTTTAGGCAATGTTGGGCGAAGCAGAATGCAAGTAAAAACAAAAATGGAATAATCAAACCTGCTTACAACAAATTACACAAACCTATGATTAAAATCTTCACCTTCATCAATTTACAGGGAAAGTTTATGCTGTTGGTGGCCATGATGGCAATGAGCACCTCGGGAACATGGAGATGTTTGATCCACTCACCAACAAGTGGATGATGAAAGCGTCCATGAACACAAAACGGTATGACAAACCAACCTAATGTTTTGCTCGAAATACTATTCTTAAAATGTATAGTTTTAATTCATTTTTATATTGAATTCATTTTTATAATTATAATTTTATACTCATAGTGTTAATCTGTAAATATGCTTTATCCAACCGTCCAGCAAAATGAAGATATTGTAAGTATTGAATCAGTTGACGAAGGGTAATGAGAGGTAATGCTGTGTTCTCTGATTAGGAGGGGGATTGCGCTAGCTGCTCTCGGCGGTCCCATCTACGCCATCGGTGGTCTGGATGATAACTCCTGCTTCAGTGATGTGGAGCGCTATGACATCGAGTCTGACCGCTGGAGCTCCGTCGCCCCCATGAACACGCCCAGAGGAGGTGTTGGTTCTGTGGCGCTCGGGGTACGAAAGCCACAACAAAACAAGTTCATAACAGCCGTGTTTCCACTGTCGGCCAAATGCGAGCTGCTAGTGCGCGCCAGGGCTATACGTGTTTCCACTCTCACTTCTGTGGCTCGTCGGGCTTCCTCTGGGCCAACGGCCAGTGCTTTTGTGCCCGCCGAATACCTTGTTCCAAAGCGGGCCAACTGGGGCTTGAGGAGTGGTTACAAACAGAGATGCTCCGTTGCTCATTTCCCATGTTATCAGGGTACCCGCTAACTTAAACATTCAAGTAATTTTAAACAATTGTCAGCTCAACTCACTTTCAGACACCAGCAAGTGCTTGAAATAACTTCTGATCACCATATAAAAAAAAAGCTAAAGGCCTTGTATGCTAAACAGACTGCTTGAACAACGTAGACAAATCAAATATAATTATAATTGTGTATTTATTCTGTTTCATGTTTTATCTGTCTCGTCTCTGTGCCTTTGTTGATACCGGATTAATGCAGTCGCATGTGATAAAAAAGCCCTAACCCTAACTGACCCGCTGTTAGCCCCGGCTCGACCCTGACCCGCTGTTAGCCCCGGCTCGACCCTGACCCGCTGTTAGCCCCGGCTCGACCCTGACCCGCTGTTAGCCCCGGCTCGCTCTGACCCGCTGTTAGCCCCGGCTCGCTCTGACCCGCTGTTAGCCCCGGCTCGCTCTGACCCGCTGTTAGCCCCGGCTCGCTCTGACCCGCTGTTAGCCCCGGCTCGCTCTGACCCGCTGTTAGCCCCGGCTCGCTCTGACCCGCTGTTAGCCCCGGCTCGCTCTGACCCGCTGTTAGCCCCGGCTCGCTCTGACCCGCTGTTAGCCCCGGCTCGCTCTGACCCGCTGTTAGCCCCGGCTCGCTCTGACCCGCTGTTAGCCCCGGCTCGCTCTGACCCGCTGTTAGCCCCGGCTCGCTCTGACCCGCTGTTAGCCCCGGCTCGCTCTGACCCGCTGTTAGCCCCGGCTCGCTCTGACCCGCTGTTAGCCCCGGCTCGCCTCTGACCCGCTGTTAGCCCCGGCTCGCTCTGACCCGCTGTTAGCCCCGGCTCGCTCTGACCCGCTGTTAGCCCCGGCTCGCTCTGACCCGCTGTTAGCCCCGGCTCGCTCTGACCCGCTGTTAGCCCCGGCTCGCTCTGACCCGCTGTTAGCCCCGGCTCGCTCTGACCCGCTGTTAGCCCCGGCTCGACCCTGACCCGCTGTTAGCCCCGGCTCGACTCTGACCCGCTGTTAGCCCCGGCTCGCTCTGACCCGCTGTTAGCCCCGGCTCGCTCTGACCCGCTGTTAGCCCCGGCTCGACCCTGACCCGCTGTTAGCCCCGGCTCACTCTGACCCGCTGTTAGCCCCGGCTCGACTCTGACCCGCTGTTAGCCCCGGCTCGACTCTGACCCGCTGTTAGCCCCGGCTCGCTCTGACCCGCTGTTAGCCCCGGCTCGCTCTGACCCGCTGTTAGCTCCGGCTCGACTCTGACCCGCTGTTAGCCCCGGCTCGCCCTGACCCGCTGTTAGCCCCGGCTCGCCCTGACCCGCTGTTAGCCCCGGCTCGACTCTGACCCGCTGTTAGCCCCGGCTCGACTCTGACCCGCTGTTAGCCCCGGCTCGCTCTGACCCGCTGTTAGCCCCGGCTCGCTCTGACCCGCTGTTAGCCCCGGCTCGCTCTGACCCGCTGTTAGCCCCGGCTCGCTCTGACCCGCTGTTAGCCCCGGCTCGCTCTGACCCGCTGTTAGCCCCGGCTCGCTCTGACCCGCTGTTAGCCCCGGCTCGCCCTGACCCGCTGTTAGCCCCGGCTCGCTCTGACCCGCTGTTAGCCCCGGCTCGCTCTGACCCGCTGTTAGCCCCGGCTCGCTCTGACCCGCTGTTAGCCCCGGCTCGCTCTGACCCGCTGTTAGCCCCGGCTCGCTCTGAAACGGCTGTTAGCCCCGGCTCGCTCTGACCCGCTGTTAGCCCCGGCTCGCTCTGACCCGCTGTTAGCCCCGGCTCGACCCTGACCCGCTGTTAGCCCCGGCTCGCTCTGACCCGCTGTTAGCCCCGGCTCGCTCTGACCCGCTGTTAGCCCCGGCTCGCTCTGACCCGCTGTTAGCCCCGGCTCGCTCTGACCCGCTGTTAGCCCCGGCTCGCTCTGACCCGCTGTTAGCCCCGGCTCGCTCTGACCCGCTGTTAGCCCCGGCTCGCTCTGACCCGCTGTTAGCCCCGGCTCGCTCTGACCCGCTGTTAGCCCCGGCTCGCTCTGACCTGACAGGGGAAACAGTCATAATTGTACAGAGTTAGTCAGAATCCACTCTAACACTTGAAACACTGGAGTTTTTTTTTGGCATGCTCACAAATCTTTTCATTATACTAACAACAAGATAAATAGGAAATTCATTGTGCAATATAGACAATTTCATTGATATAACGGATGTTTCCACAAGAGTGCAACGCTCGATGATTGACAGCTCGCTTTATGACCCATAAAGCGAGCGAGTGAATGTTTTATTTCTGATGCTTCTAGCTACACACTGCAAAGTTGCTGCATTGACAACCATATTTAAATGTGTGATTGAATCTGAAAATGTGATAACCATAGCAATGGACAGGACAAACGTGATACTGAACGTCAAAATAGATCTGATCTTGCTTTGTTTTTTTGCAAGGAAGATTGCACTTTAGGTACAATTTTCTTTAAACAACATTGTTTTCATTCCTTCTCTTTATGAGTGTTGCAGGTTAGAGATGTGATTTGTGGATGTGCTGTGTTGGTCAGGGTTTTGTGTACGCGGTCGGGGGAAATGATGGCGTTGCGTCGCTGTCCAGCGTGGAGCGCTTCGACCCTCATCTCAACAAGTGGACCGATGTGCGGGAGATGGGGCAGCGGCGCGCTGGGAACGGAGTCAGCGAACTCAACGGATGCCTCTACGTTGTCGGTAAAGATCAGAATGTGTATTTGATCTTCTGAATTTTCTACCTCGTGTGACCCGAGCTGCGCTGGGATGTGTGTGTGTGTGTGTGTGTGAAGGGGGTTTTGACGATAACTCTCCGCTGAGCTCCGTCGAGCGCTTCGACCCCAGGACGAGCCGCTGGGAGTATGTGGCAGAGCTCACCACACCGAGGGGCGGAGTCGGCGTCGCCACGGTGATGGGGCGTGTCTTCGCCGTCGGGGGCCACAACGGAAACATCTACCTGAACACAGTGGAGGCCTTCGAGCCGCGCATGAACAGGTGAGAGATCGAGCTGGGCAGGGGTGCGGTTTCCTGAATCAGGTGGACTCAGCTGCTGTTTCTCTGTGTGTGTGTGTGTGTGTGTGTGTGTGTCTCTGTGTGTGTGTGTCTCTGTGTGTCTCTGTGTGTGTGTGTCTCTGTGTGTGTCTGTCTCTGTGTGTGTCTCTGTGTGTCTCTGTGTGTCTCTGTGTGTGTCTGTGTGTGTGTGTCTCTGTGTGTGTGTCTGTGTGTCTGTGTGTGTGTGTCTGTCTCTGTGTGTGTGTGTCTGTCTCTGTCTGTGTGTGTGTGTGTCTCTGTGTGTCTGTGTGTGTCTGTGTGTGTGTGTGTGTCTCTGTGTGTGTGTGTCTCTGTGTGTGTGTGTCTCTGTGTGTCTCTGTGTGTGTGTGTCTCTTTGTGTCTCTGTGTGTGTGTGTCTCTGTGTGTCTCTGTGTGTGTGTGTCTCTGTGTGTGTCTGTCTCTGTCTGTGTGTGTGTGTGTCTCTGTGTGTCTGTGTGTGTCTGTGTGTGTCTGTGTGTCTGTGTGTGTGTGTGTCTGTGTGTGTCTCTGTGTGTGTGTGTGTGTCTGTGTGTGTGTCTGTGTGTGTGTCTGTGTGTGTGTCTGTGTGTGTGTCTGTGTGTGTGTCTGTGTGTGTCTGTGTGTGTCTGTGTGTCTGTGTGTGTGTGTGTCTGTCTCTGTGTGTGTGTGTCTGTCTCTGTCTGTGTGTGTGTGTGTCTCTGTGTGTCTGTGTGTGTCTGTGTGTGTGTGTGTGTCTCTGTGTGTGTGTGTCTCTGTGTGTGTGTGTCTCTGTGTGTCTCTGTGTGTGTGTGTCTCTGTGTGTCTCTGTGTGTGTGTGTCTCTGTGTGTGTGTGTCTCTGTGTGTGTCTGTCTCTGTCTGTGTGTGTGTGTGTCTCTGTGTGTCTCTGTGTGTCTGTGTGTGTCTGTGTGTGTCTGTGTGTCTGTGTGTGTGTGTCTGTGTGTGTCTCTGTGTGTGTGTGTGTGTCTGTGTGTGTGTCTGTGTGTGTGTCTGTGTGTGTGTCTGTGTGTGTGTCTGTGTGTGTGTCTGTGTGTGTGTCTGTGTGTGTCTGTGTGTGTGTCTGTGTGTGTGTCTGTGTGTGTGTCTGTGTGTGTCTCTGTGTGTGTGTGTGTGTGTGTGTGTCTGTGTGTGTGTCTGTGTGTGTGTCTGTGTGTGTGTCTGTGTGTCTGTGTGTCTGTGTGTGTGTCTGTGTGTGTCTGTGTGTGTGTCTCTGTGTGTGTGTCTGTCTGTCTGTGTGTTTGTGCGTGCGTGTGTGTGTGTGTGTGTGTGTCTGTGTGCGCGCGTGTGTGTGTGTGTTTTCCTCCAGATGGGAGCTGGTTGGCTCGGTGTCTCACTGTCGGGCCGGAGCCGGAGTCGCAGTGTGTTCCACTCACATCAGTCAGATTCGGGACGTCGGCCAGGGCTCCAGTAACGTCGCCGACTGCATGTAGACACACACTCCACACACACTCCACACACACTCCACACACACTCCACACACACCCCACACACACCCCACACACTCCACACACCCCACAGACTCCACACACCCCACACACTCCACACACCCCACACACCCCACACACTCCACACACACTCCACACACACTCCACACACACTCCACACACACCCCACACACACTCCACACACCCCACAGACTCCACACACCCCACACACTCCACACACTCCACACACACTCCACACACACTCCACACACACCCACACACTCCCCACACACTCCACACACACCCACACACTCCCCACACTCCACACACTCCACACACCCACACACACCCACGTTCAGCGTTACCGTGGCTCTCTGGTTTGCTGACGAGAGACGCTGTTTCCCTCTGATCGCTGATCGGGTGTTTCTGCTTCAGTAAACTACACCAGTGTTCAGTCCTCTGAACATCCATGACACGAATCCTCATGTAAAGCGTTCTTGTGTTTGAAAGGCAGAATGACATCAGATGCGTGTTGATGCACAAGTATAAAAATCACTATTTTGTGACCCAAAGAACAATCAAAAAGAGATGTTTCTGTGTGAGCCCGCATGCGTACAGCCACAGCTGGTGATGGACAGAGAAGCTCAGAGACGCTTTTATATGTTACCGTTGTGTTTTACTAATGTAAAGCTTCCTCTGGCTTGGTTTGGTTGGGTTTATCGTTATACATGATTGAGTTTGGCGTGAAACAATGTTTGGCTTTGAAACCGATCAGTTATACAATGAGGGCACACATTGAGTTTTTGTTTTGAGTCTCTGAATTCTGAATATGAAATATTTATTTTGTCTAATGCATTTAAAAAAAATTTTTTTTACATTTCAGTTCATGCTTTCAGTGGCATAAGAAACATCTGATCATATTTAAGAACTGCTGTTAAAATGTTGTTGTTATACTGGTGTCAGATGTTAAACATGTTGCATTCAGTGATGTGTAACTGTAACAAATATAATATTCATATAGTGATTTATATAACATCTGTGCCGATCCACAGAATAGCACCAGTTTGAACTGCATTTCTGTACCTGCTGATTTTAATGCAGTGTATTTGATATTTATCTTAAAAAAACGTGACCTGTCTGAGGAATGACGCTTTATAGCATATTCACCCATGCTTTACGGTTTTGCTCAATATCCATTTATTTATTTCATTCAATTTTTCTTGTGACTTTCTTTTGTCTTTGTAACAATTAATTAAAAACAGAAAACCAAAGTCTCCTTTTCTGTTTTTTCTCTTTCTACACCCTGTGAAGCTCCTGTTTTGTCTAAAGTGGGTTAGTAATAGAACTCAAAGTTTCATGAGCTTTCCATTTAGTTTAGATATATAATAATATAATAATCTGAAGTGTTTGTTTACTTTCTGTCCTGTAATGCCTTTAGCAGCACTAAACAGATTCTCCAACATCAGTTTGATGGACAGTGTAGAGTCATTTGCATTTTAGTTTTGTATTTGCTGCTTTTTTTTATCGTTTTCTGACAATTTTGCAGCTATAAAAAGGTTAAAGAGTAACACAAAGGTAAAAGATTTTATTATCTTTTTTATTATGTATTTATTATCCTAAAATATGTGCTGTTGTGAGAGTTATGAAAGAACCTCTTTGGACTTTAGAGTATTTTCACGATGACAAAGGAAACCGAATGAAGAAATGTGTTCAGCATCATCTGATCTTGGCTGTGCTGCTGATGTGATCATGTAGAGATCCAGACATTTGGATTTAACGTTCACCATTTGATCGGCTGCTTTAGTGTCACTGCAATTGTGAAATTATTCCTGACCCAACAATTCCTTCTTTTCCTCCGTTAGTGCTTTTAAAAAACATCTGTAACTCCGTTTACTCCGCAAACTATTCGCTTGTGTGTGTGTGTGTGTGTGTGTGAGTGATCTGTTTCTCCAGGTCTAGCTGAGGATGATGGTGTGTCTTATAGAGGTCAGGAGTTACTGTTAGATTCTGCCATGGACGATCTTCTGCTTCTGGTTCCTCTCAAGGATTCCTTTCAGCTTCAAAATAAAATGTAATGTCTGTTAAAACAAAGTTCTGATATTACGACCTTATTAATGCTTATTTCCTTCGGCATTCTGTGATGCTCTGTCTATCCGTTTACTGACCAGAGCGATCGAGAAAGAAAGCAAGCCAGAGATTTTATCATAAACATTTAATCTCATTCTTTAAATACATTATAGATTATTATGTGAGGAGGTTTTTTGTTCAATAATTAGAATCTCTGTTTTTTTCAGAGTTAAGCAGTAGGAAATTACTAGTCATCCAGTTTTTTATATCAGCTATGCATTCCGTTAATTTTGTGAATTGGTAAGTTTCGTCGGGGCGTGAAGAAATATACAGCTGAGTATCATCGGCATAACAGTGAAAACTAACTCCATGTTCCCTAATGATATCTCCTAATGGTAGCATGTACAGAGTGAACAGCAGCGGTCCTAGTACTGAGCCTTGTGGTACGCCATACTGAACTTGTGATCGATAAGACATATCTTCATTTACTGCTACAAACTGATAACGGTCAGTTAAGTATGATTTAAACCATGCTAGTGCAACTCCACTAATGCCAACATAGTTTTCTAGTCTATTTAAAAGAATGTTGTGGTCAATAGTGTCAAATGCAGCACTAAGATCGAGTAACACTAATAGAGAGATACAACCACGATCGGATGATAAGAGCAAATCATGTGTGACTCTGATGAGAGCGGTCTCAGTGCTATGGTACGGTCTAAATCCGGACTGAAAATCCTCCAGATATCATTTCTTTCTAGAAAGGAACACAGTTGTGAAGATACTGCTTTTTCTAATATCTTTGATAGAAAAGGCAGATTCGAGATCGGCCTGTAATTTCTTTCTTTCTTTCTTTATTGCATTTATATAGCACAATTTATTGCAACTACAGTTGCACCAATGTGCTTTCCAGCAATAACAAATAAAAAATAAAAAGTAAAATACATAGACATCACACATACATATACAACATAGGACAACAACAGAGGATTTAGCCTCAACGCCCAGAGGGATTAAACGCCTGAGTTAATAGGTGGGTTTTCAGTAATGATTTAAAACTGGAAATAGTCTGAGCCAATCTAATGTGAACTGGTAACAGATTCCAAAGTTTCGGGGCAGCAATCGAGAAAGCACGATCTATGTTTAAATCTAATTGACTAATTCTGTAGGATCAAGTTGTGTTTTTTTAACAAGCGGTTTTATCATAGCCAGCTTAAAAGTTTTTGGTACGTATCCTAGAGGCAAAGATGAATTAATGATATTAAGAAGAGGATCTATGACCTCTGGAAGCATCTCTTTCAGTAGCTTAGTCGGTATAGGGTCTAACATACATGTTGTCCATTTAGATGATTTAACAAGTTTAGAAAGTTCGTCCTCTCCTATGGCAACAAATGAACAGAATTTTTCCTCAGGGAGACTACAATGCACTCCCTGATGCGATACTGTGGTAGACGGTTGCATCGTTATAATTTTGTCCCTGATATTATCGATCTTATAAGTGAAGAAGTTCATAAAGTCATCACTGCTGTGTTGCTTGGACACTTCTGGGGTTGAAGCTTTCTTTTTCGTTAGTTTAGCCACTGTTTCAAATAAATACCTAGGATTATATTTATTTTCTTCTAATAGGGTTGAAAAATAAGCAGATCTAGCAGCTTTTAAAGCCTCTCTGTAAGCAATCGAGCTCTCCTTCCATGAAATGCGAAAAAGGGTTTTGTTTTCTTCCAGTTTCGCTCCATTTTTCTGGTGTTAAAGGAAGTGCCGGGATTCCATTTTGTGACCATATTGAAGATAATGACATGTCATGTGTTTTTGATGTTTCATGTCAAATGAATATGTTGGACTTTAACGTGCAGCATCAGATGACCATGAATGTTTTACAGTTTAATCTTTGGACTCTGATGAAGGTGAAAAGACCCTTCGGTGTGTGATGATGAGCAGATGTCTTGAGAACAGGCGTGTGGACGTACAGAAGGAATGATAGGAAAATAAACCCGTGTAATGTTGTTTCAAGTTACAAGTTAAAACTGATTCATAACTAGAATGTTTTTGTTTTTCTTCACCCTTCTTGGTCTCGTCCATTCTGGTAAGTTCACTCATTTTTATAGTAAATTTAAGAGAATACCAATAACCAATTTCTGAAATGGCAAAAGCTCAGAATCAATGGCTCTGTAATGCAACAGTTCAGATGATGGAAGAATATCAATGCACTATTTCCTCTCGTCCTCCAGAATCATAGAATCATTGCTGAAATTGTTGAAAATTGTATTTAACATTATAGGCTAAAGCCTGTAAACAAAATATAACGATAAACAATAAATCCACATGTGGCGCTTTCCATGAATAGGGCTCAAAATATGGTCTGAAACTTAAAATAAAATCAGTTTTCAAAAAAGGTACGTGGAAAAGAGGTTAATTACCTTTCTGACAATCATCAAACTAAATCATTTTTAGAAGATGTTTCAACCATTTTCCCAAATGTGGAGACGTACTTAAATACTTTTTAAAAACCCATGTAACTTTTACCAATAAACTTTAAATAATAATTTAACAAAATAGAGCAGGCATTTTAAGCAAGAACTAATGCTGGTAGTTGTAAAAAGTAGTGGGAAACCAAAGTGTACCGTATTTGTCTTTACTGCTGTGTTTTATTTCTCAGGGTCATTTACAATACAGTATATGGAAAAAATGATGACACTTTTCTACAGTTGATTTGAACCATGTGATTATGACACTTACATATTGACCATTTCAGTCAAACATTAGCAGTGCATATGACACTCAAGTATCAGCTTTACATCGTAGTCATGGGACTTTTTTATGATAGAAAGTTTGACCATTATTTTTTGCAAGCAGAAATGTTCCCTCTGCTAGATATTATAAAACACTATTTGACTTACAGGAACTGTTTCATGGATGTATTACCCGAGTTCAATCTGTGCGGAACACATATATTCTCTCATTTGTTCTCTTTTTCATTCTTGTCAAGTCAAGTCACCTTTATTTATAAAGCTTTTTTTTCAAGACAGAGTGTTTCAGCAGCTTTACAGAGAAAACTAAACCTGTTTATAAGAAAATATCGTCACAGTCCAGCTTAAGTCAGTTCAGTGATGCTTCATTTCTGCTGTAAAAAAGTTATTCATTTAGTCCATTTATATATATATAGCGGCTCTGGAGAAAACCGTGATGTCATCGTCCAGCTCAGTTCAGTTCTCATATAACGCTGTCTATGCAGGAGATCAATAATATTGCTGAATATTACATTAAATGTCCCCAAATAATGAAGCCAAAGGCGACAGTGACAGAATGGAGAAAACCCTTGGTAGAAACCAGACTCAGTCGTTCAGTTCTCCTCTGTCGTCCTCATGTTGTGTCTGATTTAATGAGAAACACTGTTTTCTAAAAGGCTTCAGTCAGTGTGAGGACGGCTGGCGGCCGTATGAGGAGAGATGTTACTTCTTCTCCTCCGACATGAAGCCGTGGCACGAAGCGCTGGAGGACTGTGTGAGCAAGGGCAGTCATCTGATGAGCATCCAGGACATTCATGAGCGGGTGAGACACACACCACAGTAAGATGAGGACGAGGTGACACTGACATGCGTTCCAGAGCTCACACTTCTGTTGTGTTCAGATGTGGGTCCGGACGCAGATCGGGACCTCCATCTTCTGGATCGGACTGAATGACGTGGCGTCAGAGGGAAACTGGGAATGGAGCGACGGGAGTGTTTTCTATCCCTACCTGTCGTAAGTCAGACATTCACATTTCCAACCCATTTCTTGATGTATTCGTTGTGTAGTTCTGCACTGTGAAAAGGTCCTGCTTCTGGGAGGTCTTGCAGGAACGCATTGTTTCTATTTTGAGGAATGGATGCAAAAGTTCCCCACACTGACCACCAAATATCTTTTCACTTTTACAGAGTAGTAATATCTATAGTATATTATATACATTTCTGTGATTGAACAATTCGCACCAGCATGACAGGAAAGCCCTTGTGTGAACTGCAGGTATTGGAAGGAGGGTCAGCCGGATAACTGGGCAGATAATGAGGATTGTGGGCAGCTTCAGGGCGCCAGCGAAGGCCGATGGAACGATGAAACCTGCTCCGCCAGACGGCAGTATATCTGTAAACGGCCAAACCGTACGTGTAATGCCTTTACCAGCTCCACAGATCACCCACATGTATACCCAGTATATATTGAGTTTCTATGTGTGTCTGTCTCCAGCTAACCCGGCTCCGCTCTGTGACGCGGCGAACGGCTGGCAGCTCTTCGGCTCGAACTGCTACAAGCGAAGGGCCGGCGTCCGGAAGAGCTGGACGGCGGCTCGCAGTGACTGTGTCCGAGAAGGCGGAGACCTGGTGTCGGTCACGTCTTCTGAAGAGGAACAGTACGTCACTAGCCGTCTGGACCCGTCCGCCTTTGACCTCTGGATTGGGTTTTCCACAATGGTGAGAATCATCAGTGTCCGTGTTAGATCTTCCGCCTGAGCGAATTCACCACATGCACCTCAAGGTCTTCCATAAACAACAAAGACAATAAAGAGCCTGACCAATTCTTTTTTATTTCTTAAAAATAGACTGCTAGGGCACGACTACACAAGAGCCATGCGTTCGGTCACATGCTAAATAATCATAGCTCAAAGAGATGCATTGTTTTACGCACAGCAGCGACGCAATCGCCTCCTTCTTTTCACAGAAATGCACAACTTTATCCTGTCAAATTCAACCAAATGCCACGACTTTTACCTGGTCTGATGCGAGTTCTTCCACGTACCTAAACTGGCCGGAGGGACAACCTGATCTCACGTAAGACAACTTTAAAACTAGTTACGGTACCTGGTTAGTTTTATCAGTATGTTTTTCACTATCTGGAGAGTCTATGATGAATAAAGCATTCAAATGTTCATGTCAATAACTGAAACTGTTGAATCTAGTGACAAAGCGAATGGCGTGTGCACTGCTATGATAAAAGAATCAGGAGAGGATTATGGGAAATGGAGAACACACGCCTGTCGTTATGAGCGACCTTACATGTGCAAGAGAGCTTTGAATAGTAAGATTCCCTCTGTTGTGCACTGAGATCAAGTTTTTCGCACGATTCTGTTATTAATGGTACAAATGCATTTAATCATTATAAATGTGCCTTCGACTGTTTTGGGTTGAGTGAAAAACGCTCTTTTGTTTCTCTCACTCCAGCCATTTGTCCTCCTGGATGGTTGAGCTTCTCGGGGAACTGTTACTGGTTGGTCAGTAACCAGAATCTCTTGACCAGCTGGTATCTGGCTCAGACCAAGTGCTTTGACATGGGTGCAAACCTAGTGACCATCAAAAAGTGAGAATACTTGCTGAAGTTTAAGGGAGATTCGCTTGGATTGTAATGGGTCACATTCATTGCTCATTTTCAGTGTATGTTTTCATCTCTAGTGAAGCGGAGCAGTTCTTCATTAATGCACAGTTGCCTGATTTTCACCAGGTAGATTTACCTGATCTGTGGATTGGGATTTCAGGTGAGTGATGCATACAATACAAGATTTTACCCTAACCCTATGCAAATGAAGCTCTTCAAATGCTCCCACGGGAGAAAGAAACGTTCAGTTAGGTGACAGAATGAGTATTTTAGCCGAAATGTTGTCCTTGAAAGACAATAAAGATGGTCTCTGATCAGAAGTACTATGATCTGTATCAGTTATCTGTATGTGAACAATCTTTCTGATTTATAACACTATCAGATAAGGACCAAGATGGGACATTTAGGTGGGTGGACAAAACTGCAGTTGAGTTTTCAAACTGGAGCCCAAATTTCCCTCAGAATACAGCTAACCAGTGGGACTGTGGCCAGATTTACACCGGTAAGATTCACGGTTGTCAGGAAGACACTCAATGTCACAATGTTAGCTTCAAAAGATTGTCTTGAAAATCTGAGCTGAATCAGTTTTTCTTTCTTGTAATAGGAAATTATGCTGGAAAGTGGGAAAGTACCAACTGCTTTAAAAATCTTGGATACATTTGCAAGATGCCAGGAGGACAGAATGTGAAGCCCACTTCAGCTCCAGGTGAACGTCCCACACACTCGTTTAATCTGAATGAACAGCTGTTAGTGTGCATGTTCAGGCAGACACAAGCATTCGCATGACGTCATCCAGTCACGATCTGCAGTGACATGATGAACTCAGGACTGGCGTTTGGCTTAGGGTCAGCAGAGTTTAGTTCCAGCGCACTCCCACACAGATCAGCCTGAAGGACTTGATTCGCTGGATCCGGTGCGTTTATTAGGGTTGTTGAAGCTTAAAAGTGTGCTTGACTTGAAGCGGCGCCGCGTAGGTCGATCGGTGTATGACAGTAAAGTCCCGCAAGAGATGTCACACACCGATCGCTTCAAGTCCAACACAGCCGAACTCTGCAGGGCTGTAGCGTTCAGGAACGTTGTTTTGCAGCCCTGGCTTAGTGGCTTAGTTTCTTTTTTTTTTACATTGTTCTGAACAGACAAATCAAACGTGAAAGCGGTTGAATTAGTGTCAGTGTTGTGTTTTTCCTGATACATGTGAAGTTGGAGGTTCATTGAATGTTTTTCTGCAGACTCACACTGTGACGAAGGCTATCTGCTCTTCGGCGAACACTGCTATCACTTTGAGACCGAAACAGTCAAGACTTGGCAGAACGCAGAAAGTTACTGTGTGGCTCAAAACGCACACCTGGTCAGCATCCACAACCAGGAGACCGTCAGTTTTCTGACAGGTGCGACGGCACACAAAAGAATTAAATGTGAAAAAATTATATATATGTGAAAACATAATGTTTGTAACATAAAGTATTTGAGTTATTTGTTTAATTGGGTTCTTGTTATCTAGTAAAAAAAATTGGTCAAATTTAAATACAGAGAATTGACAAATGTTCAAGCGTCACCGTATATGACGTCTTGTTTCTCGGATCTCACAGCACACATGAGCAGGTCTTCCTGGGTGGGTCTTAATGACATCGACAGAGAGGGAACGTATGTGTGGACCGACGGAACTCAAGCGGTAAGCTTTCAGACCTCAAACTTCATCAAACTAACCAGTACTGCCTACCTGAGAAATGCTAAGCACTGTTTTGAGTTCAATCCTGTCCCTGAAGAACGAGCACTGGTTCTGGATGCAATCACTTCAAGCTTTGTTTTGAGCATGTGTGAACAGCAGTTGGTCTGCTCTCGGTAGGACTTCCTTCCCTGGGAGACGAACCAGCCCGATAACTGGCAGGGGAACGAAGACTGCGTTCACATTCGAGGAACTGAGCACAAGGATACAGGGAAGATCAACGACCTGCCCTGCACAGCCACTTATCCGTTCATCTGCCAGAAAGGTGGGAGCTTTTCCTCTTTGACCAGTCTTTTAATTAATTGGTTAATTTTGTTGTTTACACATATTTTTCAATGCATTGTTTTAGTGAAATATTGATTTATCTTGATTTGTTTTTTGCAGCCAAAGGTCAAGGTCCACCCGCACCCCCAACAGCCGGTCCAGGTACAGATTACATAATAAATGTATACAAATCCTGAAAATCGTTAACCCCTTAGTGTATGCACAGTGGCCCATTAATCTTCAGGATTTTAGGATCCAGAAAAATGTAAATCTAATATTACTAGGAAAAATCATGTGCACAACACGGTATGATGTTCTTTTTCTATTTAATGCCAAACGTGCTCTTTGTATCACGCTGGAGAAGTGTTTTCACGCTTGTTTTCAGTTTTACTTCCGGTACATTTCTGTCTCTTCGCATCTGACTGTAAATGTCCAATTGTTCCGCTCTTGAATTTATTTCGTTTGCTGCCTCTGTCAGGCTGGAATGCGAAGTGTGGCTCCTGGGTCGCTGACCCGTTTAATGATTACTGCTACCTGTTCACGACTCTGTCCATGAGAAAGTGGGCTGATGCTCGTGCAGACTGTGTGAATCAGGGTGGAGATCTGATCAGCATCACTGAGCCGTTTGAACAGGGCTTCGTCCAAGGTAAGTGTGCTGACACAGTTACAATTTGAGTTGAGTTACCGAATGGACTTTTCCCGATCCGTTTCACTCACTTCTGACATTCACGCAACCCAGCTCAGATCCAGGCGGCTCCCACGGGAGTCTCTCTGTGGATGGGAGCGCATGACTCCATCACCGAGGGCGGCTGGACGTGGACAGACGGTTCTCCCTTCCGCTATATAAACTGGGCTGCAGGTGATGCTGACAAAAGCTTTACAATGAGATGATAAAGCACCATTTAAGCGTTTTGTTTCATTCATCCAGATTCACGTTAAATGGAGAAAATAATCTGCACTTTTAATTTACTGTTAAAGGAAACCCTGATGATTATTACAATGAAGACTGCCTGTCCATTTTGATCAACTCTGGAGCGTGGAATGACGATAACTGTGAGAATAAGAGAGGATATATCTGCAAGCGTCGTGGTATGTTCTGCTGCCCTGTTCATGCCCATAGAAACTATATGTAGTGAAGTATTGATGCCGGTTAGAAAATATGTCTTCTCTCTTTTCAGGGAATACACCCGAGCCTCCTCCGCCACATGACGGTATGCTTGGCTTCTGTTTTTGGTGAGACTCGCATCTCTAGAGCCTTTCTGAGTTTTTGCTTGTCTTACTCTAGGTTTCTACACCGCATACACCTGTCAGGACTCCAGCTTGGTCCTTCACTGCTCCCAGAACAGCGTCATCAACATCCAGTCGGCTTTTTACGGTCGCCGCAGTGACAAGATCTGCCCGTATGGAGACGGAAGCTCTGGTAAAACACAGTACTAAGAGTGTAAATGAGTAGGTTTGAATAATCGTACAGTATTTCTGACGTACTGATGAACTCTCAGGTGTGTGCACTGTCGAGGGCACGCTGGCTCTGGCCAGGAAGAGCTGCGATAACAGACAGTTCTGTTTCCTATTCGCACACGCTGATACTGACCCCTGCCCCACCGTCTACAAATACCTGGAGGTGGTTTACAGCTGCGAGCAGAACGGTGAGAGAAAACCTGTGGATGAATGAAATGACAAGACATTTTTAAGATCCCAATTAAAAAGAGGTTTGGGTGAGAAATAGAACTTCTAATAGTAAATGTCACAGTCGATGATCTTGATGTGTGCTTCCAGTGTGTTTGAGAGGGTTAGGTGTGGAGGATGGAAACATCTCGAATTCAATGCTCTCAGCATCATCATCTCTCAGTGGAAATGGACCAGATAAAGGTCGTCTGAAAGGGAACTCCTGCTGGATGCCCTCTACTTCTGGTCTGTATCCTTAACATTTGAATCACCCATGATAAGGCTTTAGGTATTTGATGAGGAAACCAGAAGTCCTTTGCCTCTTCTGTCTGATGTTCAAGCTCACCATGTGTGTTTCAGCCAACTCCTGGATTCAGGTGGATTTGGGTCAGCTGAAGAAGATCACCGGGGTCGTCATTCAGGGCTGCCCATCAACAGATCACTGGGTCACTAAGTTTAAGATCCAGACCAGCTCAGACGGCCTGAACTGGAATGACTACAGCAATGACGGAGGGGTAAACACACACACACACACACACACGCACACAATAATAGTTGTTCCGAGGAGCATCTATGCATCTATCTGTGAAAAGATAGAGTTTATGCATGCTGATGGTGATTCTGTCACAGGAGTACCTGGGTTCTGTGGACAGGACGACTCCAGAGACGCGCTTGTTAGGGACGCCGATCTCCGCTCAGTCCGTTCGGGTTCTGCCGCTGCAGTGGAACGGGCAAGCAGGATTGCGGCTGGACGTTCTGGGCTGCGTACCGGACTGTGAGTTCAACACGAGATCTTTTAAACTGAAATAAAACTGTAATTAATCCCTCTATGTTCTCAGTGTGTATTAAAACAATCTGTTTCCTCTTTTTTGGGGGTTGTTGCTGTTTCTTTAGATGCTGTTTCTTGCAGTGCAAAACCCAACCTGGACCACTCCATAGACAGAATGACGTAATTATTGAGTCTCTGACCTCCTGGTTCATCCTCCACATCTGGTGTCTCCATTATTTAACACACCTGATTCAAATAATCAGCTTGTTAACAGAGCGATAACCCTAACACTGGACACAGAGAATGCTGTGGAATAACAAATACTCACCTAAATCCTTCAATAGTGCATGTTGAAGAATAAATGTTTTAGATTTACGTTTTACTTTGAATCACATTCAAAAGCATTTGTCTTTGTGTTCTTGTTCATTTCAGGGTTCACTGCCCTGCTGGTTGTGCCAGAGAGGCGTATTCTGTGTTCGGGACAGATATGTATCGCGGGGTATGAGTATAAGAAATTATAGCCTGACCCTTGATTCTAGAGTAAGCATTGACCACGTACAGTACACATGAAACAAACGTTTCAGTTGAGGATTTTTCTTATGAATCAGGACTCTAATATCTGTGCGGCTGCGATCCACGCCGGAGTGGTTCTGAATGACATTGGAGGAGACTGTACTCTGCTCAAAGCTGACGGTCAGAACTTTTACAGCGGATCCACCAAGAACGGCATCGTATCCAGACAGTAAGTCTCCTCAGCCGTCTCTGAAACCCCTGCTGACGAGTCAGGTATAGAGTGAAATATGCTGTGTGTTGTGTTTCAGGTTTGACGGGCTCTACTCTGTGTCCTACCACTTTACTGATGGAGGTGAGACAGTGTCTTCTAACTAGCCTAAACATCACTAAATACTGCACAGCTCTGAATGCTGTGTCTCTTTCAGAGCTTAGGTGTTCTGGTCCAGACTGGTACGAGTTCGGAGAGTTCTGCTATAAGCCGTTTGAAGAGAAGAAAACGTGGCATAGCGCGCGGACGGCCTGCAGGCAGCTGGGAGCCGATCTGGCCTCGATCCGGTCCATGACAGAGCAGAGCTGGCTGGAGAGCTACCTGTATCTGGGTATGTGTGTTTATTGGGTGTTTGGTTACAAATAAACATCAATTATGATTGGAATCGCAGCTAGATCCTTTTCAGCCTCGTTTTTTTGGCCCGTAAGCTGCGTCACGTGTTTCCATGTACTGGGAAGCTCGTAACAAAATACATATGTGCTCTCAGGAGAAGCATCTGAACATACAGTACATACCCAAGTAAACATGTGAGTGTGTGAAGACTTTCCTCTTTGTCCCGTGAAACAGCCACCAGTGACGTGTGGATCGGGCTGAATGATCTGGGCTTCTCAGGTTTGTTCTCGTGGTCAGATCATCACGAGGTCACGTTCACATACTGGGCTCCCGGAGAACCCAACAACCACTTGGGCTTCAACGAGGACTGTGTGGAGATGTTCCATCAGGTACTGCACTCCGTTCACTGACAAACACGCGTCTCGAATTAAACACTGGAGCATGAATGTCAGCATAATGCTTTGTGTCTCAGACGGGCCGATGGAATGACGTCACCTGCACGGAGTTAAACACCTACATCTGTAAAATGCCCAAAGGTCACTATCCTCTGCCCTCCGTCCAGCCCACCATCTACGGCTGTCCTCAGGTCAGTCCTGTGCGCTCGTGGGGGGACAGCAGTGACTCTGAGCCTGTCCAGCTGACCGTGTGTGTCTGTTCTGCAGGGCTGGGATGTCTTTGAATATTCGTGCTATTGGTTTGAAGAAGCTGCTAGAAGCCGCGAAGAAGCCAAAGTGTTCTGTGAGAGTCGAAACAGCACTCTGCTGCATATCATGGACCTGTGAGTGTGTGTGTGTGTGTGTGTTCGTTTACAGGCATGAACTGCTTCTGTGCCAGGACAGCTGTAGTAACCGAGCTGCTGTTGCACTGTGCAGGTATGAACAGGCCCATTTTACAGCTCTGATGGGCCGATACTCTGGTGACTGGTGGATCGGGCTGCGGGCGAGAGGAGGCGAGGCGGGAGTCGACTATTACTGGGACAACAACGCTTTATTAACTTACACCAACTGGGGCCGCAACGAGCCGAGTAAATCAACTGAACTTTTCTGTCCTAGATGTTACTGTCAGGGTTCTGTCACGTCTGTCTGGTTTAATTCTTAGTTTGGTGACAGAGCTCTGACATTCCCGGTTTGTCATGTTCTAGTCCTGTTTGTTGTGAGCACATGGCTTGTCATGTGTTTCCTTGTGCCATGTGCTCTGTCTATTGTCTAGCCCCTCCCATCTTGTTATCTGATTATTGTTTAATTTGTCCCACCTTGCCTTGTTCGTTACCCTCCTTTGTTTGTTCCCTATTTAGTCTCCCTATGTTTGCAGTCCTGTGCTGATTCGTTATTATGTTTCCTTGTGTTTCCTGCTAAGACCTGATTATCTGTTTTTCATTTGTACCTGGATTTATTTTCTATCTTTATTAAACATTCAACCTCTGCAATTGAGTCCTCACTCTCCTTTTCCACAACCATTCCGTGACAGTTACACCTGAGCGCTGTTTAGACTTCAAGACAAATAACATCATCATTCATAAACCAATCAGGCTTTATTGTATTTCTAGATAACCATGCTGGATCATGTGTCACTATGACGACGGCCCCGCTGGCAGGATTCTGGAATAACAAGCAGTGTGAAGAATCATTTCCGTTTGTGTGTGAAGCTCCCAGGAACGGCATCTCTCCGCCGACACCCGCTCCGACTCCGCCGCCGGTGACGGGATGTGAGAGCGGCTGGGGTGGAGAGCCTCACTTCAGAAACTGCTACAGGGTGATTCAGCTTCGTCTTTTAATGACTATGATTACATGCAGAGCAGAAACGCAAGCTAATAAATCTTAGTTTACTGCAGGACAAGTGTGTAATTGCCTTAAATTGGAAAGATATCCAAAGGCCTTCCTTTAATTATTGGGATAAAGATACTGGTGTATAATGTTCGGGGGAAAATAGACAAGATATGGACTCCTAGTTTTACAGGTCCTTAATTTATTGGATGCGATGGTCTGGATGGTCAAGATTGAATCTTTAGTGTCTTTGTTGTCATTGTCAATCAAATAACATAAACGACATTCTCCGGTTAGACAGAGAGAGAGAGAGTGGGTGTGTTTCAGAGAGAACGTCCAGGATGAGCTGTTTTCAAATGTGGTGAATGTTAAAATACATGTTGTGTGTTTTAAATGCCTTCTCGTTGATCTATTTGTGTTTGTGCTTCTGCAGTTGTTCACAGTGGACTTTCCCCAGAAGAAGAGCTGGCAGGCGGCTAGAGACGACTGTCTCGCCCGCGGCGCCGATCTGGTCAGCATCCACAATCCCGCGGAGGAAATTTTCCTCTCCAGCTATTCGAAGGGAAGGACCAAGTGGATCGGACTGAGCGTCAGCCTGGTGGAGGGAGGTTTGTTTGCTTACTGCTGATTCGCTCAAGTAAATAATACTTTGTTTGGCGCAACTGACCTGTGTCTAACCTTCCTTCTGCAAGTCAAGTCAAGTCAAGTCATCTTCATTTATATAGCGCTTTTAACAATGGAGATTGTTTCAAAGCAGCTTTACAGAGATAAACATACAATTTACGGTAACAGAGATTGTTTTGGCTTTATAGCGATTTTGAATAATGTACTTTCCAGCTAAAGTTGGTTTTGATTGATTCACTTCCCGCAAAATTATCATTTGTTATTACATTAGGGGCCACTAAGACGACGGCGTTCTCTCTAAACAGACTTTAAACGCGAACCTGTGACCTGATGGCGTTCACATGCGCATTCAAAATTGATTCTATAGTTAAATTCGTTTGAATATGTGTGCGCAGGTTTGTAATTTCCCAATAAACCATGCCTAAACAAACTACTTGTCTTGCCTATAAATTTGATAGAGAATTTTATTTAATCACTTCGAGCTAAGCGAACCGGATTTCAACAACGCTTTATCTGTAGAGTGGGAAAGGGATCCTCCATAGGGAGAGGATAGTGGACACTTCAGCACTGCATTGTCATCGGGTCCAGGCGAATCTCCTTCGTCAGATCTGGACACGGCCTGGATCCGGCAGGCTGCGGGAAAACCTCGGGATAAACAAAGACACTAATATTAGCGTAGATGCCATTCTTCTTATGATGTACCGAGTACATCAGGATTTAAGGGAAGTGTTTCCAGTTCCGGCTGACCTAATCTATGCAGCCTAACATTGAATTATAGAAGTCTATAGTGTGTTATGTGTATGCTAGGTCAAAGAGATGTGTTTTTAGTCTAGCTTTGAACTGACAGAGTGTGTCTGCTTCCCGGACAATGGTAGGAAGACTGTTCCAGAGTTTTGGTGCTAAATAGGAAAAGGATCTCCCGCCAGCAGTCGATTTAGATATTCTAGGTATTATCAACTGGCCGGAGTTTTGAGATCGCAATAGACGTGAAGGACTATAATGGGTTAAGAGCTCGCTCAAGTACTGGGAGCTAAACCATTTAGTGCTTTGTAAGTAATCAACAATATTTTAAAATGTATACGATGTTTAATAGGGAGCCAATGCAGTGTTGACAGAACCGGGCTAATATGGTCATACTTCCTGGTTCTGGTAAGAACTCGAGCAGCTGCGTTTTGGACCAGCTGTAGTTTGTTTATTAAGCGTGCAGGGCAACCACCCAGTAGAGCATTACAGTAATCTAGCCTTGAGGTCATGAACGCATGAACTAATTGTTCTGCATTTGTTAATGAGAGCATATGGCGTAATTTAGATATGTTTTTAAGATGGAAAAATGCGGTTTTACAGATACTAGACACGTGACTTTCAAATGAGAGATTGGTATCAAAGAGCACACACACACACACACACACACACACAGGTTCCTAACCGACGACGAAGACTTGACAGAGCAGCCATCAAGTGTTAGTCAGTATTCTAGGTTATTACGTGTGGAAGTTTTTTGTCCAATAATTAGAATCTCTGTTTTTTCAGAATTTAGTAGTAGGAAATTACTAGTCATCCAATTTTTTATATCGGCTATGCATTCCGTTAATTTTGTGAATTGGTAAGTTTCGTCGGGGCGTGCAGAAATATACAGCTGAGTATCATCGGCATAACAGTGAAAACTAATTCCATGTTCCCTAATGATATCTCCTTATGGTAGCATGTACAGAGTGAACAGCAGCGGTCCTAGTACTGAGCCTTGTGGTACGCCATACTGAACTTGTGATCGATAAGACATCTCTTCATTTACTGCTACAAACTGATAACGGTCAGTTAAGTATGATTTAAACCATGCTAGTGCAACTCTACTAATGCCAATATAATTTTCAAGTCTATTTAAAAGAATGTTGTGGTCAATAGTGTCAAATGCAGCACTAAGATCAAGTAACACTAATAGAGAGATACAACCGCGATCGGATGGTAAGAGCAAATCATTTGTGACTCTGATAAGAGCTGTCTCAGTGCTATGGTACAGTCTGAATCCTGACTGAAAATCCTCACAAATATCATTTCTTTCTAGAAAGGAGCACAGTTGTGAGGATACTGCTTTTTCTAATATCTTTGATAGAAAAGGCAGATTCGAGATCGGCCTGTAATTGACTAATTCTGTAGGATCAAGTTGTGTTTTTTTGACAAGCGGTTTAACCATAGCCAGCTTAAAGGTTTTTGGTACGTATCCTAGAGACAAAGACGAATTAATGATAGTAAGAAGAGGATCTATGACCTCTGGAAGCATCTCTTTCAGTAGCTTAGTCGGTATAGGGTCTAACATACATGTTGTCGATTTAGATGATTTAACAAGTTTGCGAAATTCATCCTCTCCTATGGCAACAAATGAATCAAATTTTTCCTCAGGGAGACTACAATGCACTGCCTGATGCGATACTGTGGTAGACGGTTGCATAGTTATAATTTTGTCCCTGATATTATCAATCTTATAAGTAAAGAAGTTCATAAAGTCATCACTGCTGTGTTGCTTGGACACTTCTGGGGTTGAAGCTTTCTTTTTCGTTAGTTTAGCCACTGTTTCAAATAAATACCTAGGATTATATTTATTTTCTTCTAATTTCTAATTTTCTTCAAGGTTACCACTGGAGTGACGGGACGCCTGTCAGTCACACAAACTGGGGCCATGGTGAACCGAATAATCACAATGGGCGGGAAAACTGTGTGGAGATGGTGACCACCCACAACGGGACGTCCTGGTGGAACGACCTGAATTGCGATGCCCACCAGGACTGGATCTGCATGATTGCTAAAGGAAAGAAACCGATTATACCACCAGTGCCTCCGTCCCCCGTTCCAGGTAACTATAGAAGTTATTCTGACCAATGAAAATCTTTGTATGATCCATTTCTCTGGCCTGAGTTCGTGTTTGGAAAATATGTTTAGGAAATTGAAAGCAATTACTTTGCGAAATCTGAGAAAGATCGTTTTTTTATTTTCTTTCAGCTCCAGAGTGCGGATCGAACCCGGGCTGGAGGAAGAACAATGGCATCTGTTATTACTATAATGACACCGATATCGTGGACTTTCACATGGCTCTTGTGAGATGTTATGAAGAAAAAGCTCAGTTGGTGTCTATCGCTGATGAAGACGAGCAGTCTTACGTGGTCAGCCTGGTACGGCTTCAGTTTTTTCTATTGCTCCAGGCTTTTGAAAGTTTGATCAATAATGCTTTTGTTTTCTTCTCTGTCAAGCATTAGTGAGGTTTGGATGGTTGTAATGGTCTTAATGGTTGTAATCATTGATTGCACTTTAAGTTTTAGGGCCCTGTTTTAACGATCTGAAACGCAAGTATCAAGCACGAAGCGCAAGTAACTTTGTGGGCGGGTCTTGGGCGCTGTTGCTATTTTACCGGCGGGATAAATACCCTTTAAGAGCAGGTGCGCATGTTGCATGGCGGATTGTTATTATTATGGCGGATTTTTTTTCCTGGTTCTTGACATACACTTATATACACATGTGTCTTGCCACTATTGGGCAAACAGGTCTGATCCGTCATTACTACAATTAGCCTGAAAAATTTGGGTAAATGTGTAAGCTAGATTTAGGCCTAAATTTTTTTACATCTTCATGGACACCACAATGATTTCCCTCATGTGTTAATATTTTTCCTTGTTATAATGTATGATTTGCAAAAATAAAAACTGCTGCATCTGTGTTGATGAGAGAATCACAGTGAATGCGCGTTGTGCACCCGCTACATTATGGCCAAGCATGCGCGCTTAAAATAGCATTATGAACAACGCGCAACGCGCCACTGACTTTAGACTAGGTTTTTTCTGGTCAGTGGCGGAATTGTTTTCTGGAACTGCAGAATAGCACTAGGGAATGTTTGCGCCGGAACACGCCGCCTCTTTGCGCTGAACCGCCCAGGGAGCGCAAGTTCATTCCCTAGTTTACCGACGTGCGTCTGTGGAGGGAAAAGCCCGCTTTGCGCGGGTGCAAAATAGGAATGATACATGCGTCAGTGTACAAAGTCAATTGCGCCGGCCCCGAGTGTTAACTCAGATAGTATTTTTAAGAGAGCTAACCAGCGATTGTTTTTAATTAGGAAGCTGAGTAGCTTCAGGGTCAGTCAACACATTCTTGAGATGGCATATAGGGGCCTGGTAGAAAGCATTTTACAGTTTAATATAACAGCTTGGTATGGCAACCTGAATGTGAAAGACAAAAACAAGCTTTCCAAATTGTTAATATTGCAGGGAAGGTGATTGGCAAGTCACAAAGGCAGCTTGGGGAGGTATTTGATAGTGGGGTCCTCAGGAAGGCCAGACAGATGTCAGCAGACACCCTACACCCACTCAACTCAGAGTTTGAGTTGCTCCCATCTGGCCGTAGATTCAGGGTCCCGGCGAGCCGGAGCATTTATAAGAGATCTTTTATTCCCCATGCCATACAGGAACTTAATTTAAGTTGAAAGCATTTTTTTTATTCATTTTTTTATTGTAGGTCGAAACCTACTTTATTTCAATCGGCTGCGCTGTTTTCCATTTTCTGTTGTTGTATGTTGATTGTGGTAGCGTCATACTCTTAACTGTGTGTATTTTAATGTAATTTTAACTGTGGTGTCACTGATGCATATCTGTTCGGAGAAGTCAGAGACAAATTTCCACAAAGGTGGACAATAAAGTCTAAAGTCTGTCTGGCTTGATGTTGTTGGTTTCAGGTTGGCACCGGTCAGGCGGCCGCTGCCTGGATTGGCATGAGAATGTTCGGGGTTGCGGGTGGAGAGTATCTGTAAGCCTTAAAACATTTGAGTGTTATTAGTGCTTGTCTTTAACATATTCTCCGGCATGACGGTCAGCTGTTTCTCTGTGCAGGTGGATTGATCTGTCTCCGGTGACGTATGTGCACTGGGGTCCCGGAGAGCCCAACGACGCCAACGGAGAAGAACAGTGTGTCCAGATGAACAGACATCCAGGTGCAGTTCATGCACAATTATTATTTCATGCTAGACGCTTCATTTAATGTACATGCTATTGTACTTACTTTTGACATGCCTTATGAATATTGAACTTTACTCAAATCTAAAACTTAAATTATTATTATTGATGTTCTTATTTCTTATTCTGAAAAAAAACCCTAACATCATCTCCTTTTCTTGGTTTATCATAACGCTGCCATTTAATATGTTTCTTTTAATGGATGCTTCTGTAACAAATGACCAATATCAATAGATGAGTAGTGACACATGAGAATTATAAACTCTTTTTGAAATCAGTACAGAAAAATAGTGTGAACAACAAGAAAAAAAATACACAATCCAAAAGGAGTGTAAGTATGATGCTTAAAAAACATGTTTAAAAAATGACAGATGTGGATCACAGACTTCACGTTCTTGTGTTACTTGTACATTTATCAAGTGTAGCTGTATATTTATTTATCGTTTATTAACACATGATGTTGTGAGTTTTCAAGATCAAAGTGGTTTAAATGTGAACGGTTTTGTTTTTTTCAATAGGTTCATGGAATGATGCGAACTGTGGACGTGCCAGCGCTGGTTATGTGTGCAAAAAATATCCAGGAAATGACCACACGCCTCCACCTCCAACGGCATCATGGGAAGGAAACTGTCCCGAGGGTACATCTGATATAAAGCAACATGCATGAATCAAGGACAGGCTAATCTGGTGATGGTTCAGTGATTTTTAAAAGACGTTGTGGTTTTTATTCTACAAGGATGGATGAAATTCCGCAACAAATGCTACATATTCAAAGGAAGCCACCACCATCAGTCTGAGATCAAGGCCAACTGGACTTCTGCGCGGGACTGGTGCCGACAGCAGGGAGGAGATCTCGCCGTCATCGATGATCAGAACGAAAATGGTACTTCATGAGATCTCATAATAGTCTACAGTATTTGTTAATATGGTTTCAATTGTAAAAAGAGCTTTGTTGAGACTCAGGAGGCGGAGACAGATCCATGCGCAACAATTTATTAATAACGTAAAAGTAGGGTTAAAGGAACTCAAAAGAGTAATAAAGGCAGCAGGCTGAATCGAAGTAAACCAGGCGTGAGTTCGGGGCTGGCAGCAAGCATGCAGGTCAGAGACCGTCAGAAGTTCAGGGCTGGCGGCGAGTATCAGAGTCAGGTCACAGGCGGAGTTCACAAGGCAGGCTGCACACAATCAGAGAGGTAGATTAAGCAAAGGTTCAATATATCAGAGTAACAGGGTTTTTTCCGAAAGACGCTCAGACTTGTGACACGGGAGTGAGACAATACTTTGCAACGGACGCAGAGATAACAAGCTAGATATATGCTTGAGCTCAGAGTAAATTGCTGACAGGTGGAGGGTGATCAGAGCGCCAATGATGCATACGAGGAGTGTGCATCATTAGTATTCAGGGGAAGGCGCTCGAGACTGAGTACTGGGGATCTCACTAGACGCCGTAACAAGCTTTAAGTACATTGCTTGCAAGGTGAACACTAAATTGAAATTTCTCTTTTTATTATGATGGTGAAACCTTCAGGAAACGCAAGTCTAGTTCATGTTCAACCCTCTCTCCAGATTTTGTGGCCAGTTATCTCAGGGATCTGGTTGTGCCAGTTTGGATTGGTTTATCCGATAGGCTGCATGAAGGGAAGTTTGCCTGGAGTGATGGAGTCAGTCCGGTCTTGTACACAAACTGGGCCGATAAGGAGCCAAACAACGCTGACGGGCAGGTGAGAAGATCCATGTGGGAACCAAATTCAGAATTTGACAACTGGATTCTTTCAATTCATGAGTTGGAATTTGAATCAAATCTGCCACATCCCACAATATGTTGAATTTGAATTTAAATTGAAAAGACAGGAAGGGGAATTTATTTCTCCATCTCTGTTTGCCTGTCTGGCCTATAAAACCTGAAGACTTGAGACTTTTCAGCTCATCTTTCAAAATATGTCTTCATTAAGTTTTCATTTTCCAGCTAAAAAAAGTTAGTTACTTAAATTGAATTTAACCTTCAATTCAGTTACTTCATTCACTTCTGTTCCCCAAAAATGAATTGGCAATCTCAGTGATACTGATGACTGAACTATTATATAATGAATGTCAATTATTCAAATATTTTATGTTAGCTGAAGTGGAGATGGTGCTGATCTCTGGTGTCTTTCTCTCAGGAACACTGTACTTCAATCACCCATAATCACCTGGTCACGGGCCGCTGGAACGATGAGCAATGTGATCACGAGCGAGGATGGGTGTGCTCTAGGAAGAAATGTACTTGCATCTTCATTTTCAAATTTACTGTGTGAGACTAAACGGTGCTGGTCATGTGTTCCAGGCTCCAGGAACAGGGCTGGGAAACATGACAAGAGTTTAAGGAGTTAGCGATCTGAATTGTTTCACACATCAGTAGATCTCCTCTAACCTTTGACGCTTGTATCTCCCGCCGTCTTCCGCAGCGAGCAGCATTCCCGTCCCGCCGCCCACAAGCTCGCCGTGTGCCTCCGGATACATCACCTGGTACAGCAACTGCTATAAGCTGATTTCCGAGCCCAAGACCTGGGAAGAAGCTCAGCAAGCCTGTGTGAAGGAGGGTGGAAACTTGGCCAGTGTGGACATGAGTTACGACCAGGCCTTCATATCTGGAGCCGTGCAGCAGGGCAAGACGGACGCCTGGATCGGACTTCGCCGACTGGTACAGTAGATGATGATAACTACATACAATGACTACATTACACAACAGACGGTGAGCAGACCTCAAGCTGTCGCTCTTCTCCTTCAGCCTGACAGCGATTCGTACAGATGGTCTGATGGTTGGCCCGTCTTCTTTACTCACTGGGGTCCGGGAGAACCAACCAATCACAAGGGAGAAGGGTGTGTCAGCATGCACGCGCCCTCACACTTCATCCAGGGCACTTGGAATGACACGGCCTGCGACGATGCCAAACCTTACATCTGCAAAATCACTAAAGGTAAAGCTGAGAAAAGCTGCTGACAGACGAGCGTCAAGACTTGAATATCGATTACTAACGTCTGTCTGGATTCTCTCTGCAGAAAAGCCTCCGGCGACGCCGGCTCCGGGCGATGGGAAGTGTTTGCCAGGCTGGTGGACGTACGGACGTCACTGCTATTTCGCATATAACGGAAAAGTGGGTTTCTCGTGGCCAGAGGCGAGACACTTCTGCCAAGAGGTGAATGGGGGCGAATTAGCCTCAATTCACAGTCGAGCTGAGGTGGAATTCATCAGGAATATCAATTACACAAAGTACCACTATGTGTGGATCGGCCTGACCAGAGATCGCTCATGTACGCAACAGAGCTGTTTATCTGTCTTTCATTGTCGTGCATTAGCTGTAGATGCTGTATAAGATTCGCTGATCATGTGCTGATGATTGTGATTGCAGTTGGATGGGGCTGGACGGACCTGACATCTCTAGGCTTCACCAACTGGGCTCCTGGAGAACCCAATGAAGCCGTTCACGATGGCGACTTTGGCAAAGAGAATTGCGTTGAGATGTATCACGACGGCACATGGAATGACAACAACTGTGTGCAGAAGAGAGGCTTCGTGTGCCGACACCGGCAGTGTACGTCACATCATTCACACGCCGTTCGCTCTGACACGCTTGACAAACACGTTTACGGCTTTGACTCGGAATCAGTATTCAATCTGACACCAGTTCGTCAAAATTCTGATGTTAGACATCTCTATATCTAAAACCTTAAAGACCCACTCCGATGAAAATAATGTTTTTCTAAGTGTTAACATGTTCTTGTGGCATTTTTCTGATGGTAGAGGACATATCTTGAGAAAAATAAGCTCAAAGTTGTATTTCTGAGTATTTCTACATTCAAATGGCTGTGAATCAGTAGCAGACGCTAAAATGCCGGCTAAAATAGACTGGAGTTGTGACGTAGTAACTCCACTGGGCAGGGCCGGAGTGGGACAAATTTTCAGCCCTGGAGTTTCATACCTTAGACCGGCCCACTTTAGTTCCCGACCGACTATATTAAAATAATGTAATTAAACCCTCAGTATATAAGTCTGCAATAGTGCACTGTTCTGTACAGCCTTGTAATTCATTGTATTTTTCCAAAAATATAATTTTCTATTCAGTGCTGTGCAATAGCCGTACACAGGGTTTTATAAATACAGAGGTCCCAAAAGTGATCTGGGTTCGGGGGCATATTATTTTTCCACTGTCATTGGCAAAGAACATGTATATCTGTGTTAAATAGGAATCGATTGTAATAAAGTTATTCTCCTTCTGGGCACAGTATGCAATAGGCTTCCTGCTCTCCTCTCTCATCTCCATCTCCTTGTCTCATTCTTCTTCTCTCAGTCTCTTTATCGTTAGGTTAAATCTCCCCTTCCCGAAGCTGAGCTTTGATTGATACAGTCTTTGCAAACTGATTATTTATGTCGGTCGTTTAAAACTTCTATCGTAAAACAGCTGTTTAGTTTAGTTCCACTTGCTAATCTCTTGAAGCGCCGCGTTGGGATTCGCGCGCGGCCGCGGCTCGCGCTTCTGTGAACATAAATCCCGCTTGCTTTGATCGGTCATCTCAAACATTTTGCCATTGCCGACGAGCGGTGTTGAGTAGCTACTGAAGCAGCTCAGATTATGAGGTCGGTTATCGTCGCGATATGCGAATCATTGCAGCACCAAATTAGAGTATCAGGCAATTATTTCACAAAGTTCATTATACACTCAGAAAAATGACCGAGGTCCGGACCTCGGAGACCACAATGGTGGGTACGGCGCTGAGGCTATTTGGCCGCTTGAGTTTCTAGAGATTTTTTATTATTCTGGCCTTTTCAGCGCCGCCTTTGCGCCTATTATCCATGTTTTGTATCTCTTATTCTTTGTTCGCACATCTCTAACAACAGACTTTTTTTATGGGGCTGCGAGAAAATTTTAATAAAAAAATAGTGGTGCTGCGCTGAGACTGGAGCATTCAACCCAGTGCCATGACAACACCAGCCCTCCTGGCCAATAAAACAGACCGGCCCACCGGGAATTCTCCCGGTGCTCCCGATTAGCCAATCCGGGCCTGCCACTGGGCGTCTCCACACGCGACGTCTTGGAGTGAAATAATGATCGGTGATCGGTGATAACTTTGATTAACTTCGGATAATAATAATTAACGTGTATATAATACTGTTGCCCCACCGGTATTGGAGGTGTAAGCTAGCGGGAGAGACAGAGCTCTCAGCAACGGGCAGGGGGAGGGGCGTCTCCGTGCCAACGGCTCCGCCCACAACGCAGAGGCGAATTGCTAATGAGCAACTGCCGCTCTGCTGAAGCGAAGTCCCAGAAAACGGCACAGGTTTTGTGATTTTGGCTAAAAATGGCATAATCATAATTTAAAGACCACTGGGAATGTTTAAAAATAGCTCAAAATATGATCGGAGTGGGACTTTAAGATATACCTAGCTCATATGAGCTGACAAGCACAGTTCAGAGAAACGAGACAGAAAACCCCATCCAGACCAACCTGATCCCATGCTGTCTGAAACTGCTTCTAACGGCCCTTTCTCCTGTTTTCAGATTATGTGACGGATGGTAATGGGATCGTCATCCCAACCGACGCATCAGCCAGTGAGTTCATATACAGAAAGGTTTTGAAATAAACGCTGTTGTTGTTGTTGTAACTGAATCTGTTGTTTGTGGCGCAGCGGACAGCGGTCTGATCGCCGGGGCTGTTATCGGGGCTATTGTGTGTGCGGCGCTGATACTGGCCGTCATGTACTACGTCTTCAGTGTGAAGGGTGTAAGACCAGGACAAATCAGCGTCTTCAAACAAGACACCAAGAATATCGATGTGGTAAGTTTCATTAATTTTGACTTGACCACTTGACATCTCGTTCTAGCCAACGTGACCAAACCATGTTCTGCCAGTCTAACCTGAATAAGAGATTCAGTGCTCAGCATTTTTTACAATCTGTTAACAGCCTGCATTCACTAACCCGAACTTCGCTGGAGAATCTGAATCATGAGCTGCGAGAGAGTCATCTGCTCCTGTACAGAAACTAAAGCACTGGAACATGTTCAATCAACACCGAAACTCATTCACACAAGCATCTTATCATTTCCTGTAGATTTAAAGTTGGTTTTTGTGTATGTGTGCTTGTATTCTTAATTTTAAATTTGTTATGGTAATGTTTATTGTCTGTACAGTTGTTTCTTGAAATAAATTTGAATTGTATACTTGCTTTATATTTCTGAATTTACAAAACAGCATAGGATATTCTTCATAATGTAACTGATTACATTTGATTACTTTTCTAAATTTCTAACGTATGTTTTCAACTGTTAATCTTTTTTAAACATTTAAACCAGGCAGGGTTCACCTCTAAAAAATAGATATTTAGTTATAGAATTTTGAGTTAGTACTGGCAGCAGATAAAGTCCTAATTTTTTGGTGATTTTAATATAGGCCTACATGTAGATAATGAAAAAGACGCATTGGGATTTGCATTTAGAGACATACTGAACTCTATTGGAGTTAGACAACACGTGTCAGGATCTACTCATTGTCGTAATCATACTCTAGATCTAATATTATCACATGGAATAGATGTTGATGCCGTTGAAATTCTGCGGCAGAGCGATGACATCTCAGATCATCATCTAGTCTCGTGTAAACTCCATTTAGCCAAGGCTGAGGTGTCACTAGTCGCTCCCTGTGAAGGCCTCCTCCTTCTCCTCTGCACAGATAATCGCTGTCGGGATAATGCCGGATCGCGTGGCTACGCCGAAGCGATAAAGTTCTGTATTATAAATTTTAAGGCCAGACAAGTAGTTTGTTGAGGGTTGTTTTTTTAGGGAAGGACTACATGCCTGCGCACATCATCGACACCCATAGCGTCTCCAATCGACACTGAATATCCTTTATACTCTAGCTCCTGCGTCTTCCGTCGACACTGGCCGAGTTTCCTAACTCTAACTTACTTGCTTCCCTAAACGGACCTGCTGCGCAGCAGTAACACCAGACAGACTCCAGCAAATGTTCTTTAAATGCTTTTAATTACGGCCAGGAGAGTTCTCGAGCAATACTCAGAGAATCTCCCAAGTAAAAACAAGGCCGGTGGATCTCAGACAATTTCCATTGAGAATCCCACATTGAGAATCCCACATTGAGAATCCCTACAAATACAACAGTTTTTATAGAATGGGGGTATGGCAAAATGATACAGTACCACGAGTTTTCAAACCTAGTCATCTGTCTAGTTCCATTTCCCATATATGTTATTTATACACACACTCACACACTCATAAGTCACAAGTTTCCAACTAAAGGGGAGACATACATTTCAAATTCAAATGTTTAGATGTTAAATTAGGTTAGATGTTAACATGGTTAGTTCAATATACAGTTTAAAATTTCTATGACAGTTGTGAATCTTAACGCGACGAGAAGAAAACACACTGACGTGATAGGATCAATCTTTTTCTTTGAGAAGCAAATTTTTTTTTGGTTCTCTGATTTATATTTCTCATTGGCCAGGTTTTTTTCCGTTGTGTGAAATGAAATGAAAGTTAAATTTGACAAGAAAAAAAGAGGAAAACATAAAAGAGATTTAAGCCACTTTTAATTGTCGATGAAATTTTGTTGCATATAAAATAAAGAAATTAACAACATATTCAAGAGATGATGATTTGGGGTTTTTGTAATTAAAAATAACTAGTGCAAAATGCCCGTGCAAAATAATTTTTTTGTGTGTTTTTAGCAATTGTTGGTTTGGTGTGTTTGAATGCTCATTGTTACAATTACACAGCAAAAGTTCAGTGACATTTTTATTTGTGCATGGTAGAAAGTATACTGATACTGACATAATGATACATTGGAGGATATATTTAGAGTGGATACAGATACATGCCCGTGAAAGATAGCGATAATGTTAAAGCTCCAGTCTGTAACTTTTTTAAGTTAAAAATAATCCAAAATAATTATATTTAAAAAAACTTATTCTGCCAGTGGTCAAAACTATCTGCTTGCCATAGCTAGATTCAAAACGGTTAGCTTGTAATAATGATTGTAATTCCAGTGGTACTGGTGGGTTTCCGCGGGAAATTCGAGCATGTCTTTGCGTCATGACGTCACACCCGTACACATAAAGAAGGAGTTTCGGCTAGCCGGCTATACTGCGCGTGACCAGATGTTTAGATGGATAGGCTTTTCTCGCAGCACTTTACATGATTAAACTTATGGCGGATCCAGAAAGATCCAAACAACAATCATCAGTGTCAACTGGAGATTCAGCAGTTATAAAACCCAAAAGACTTCGTACTTCGGATTTAAGGTGGCTAGAGAAAGAGAAAGAAACCGTCTCATGCGAACACAAGGATTTAAACATCGGCGGGGCTTTTGAAAAGTGCGTGAACTCCGTGTTTTGAAGGGGTTCGAGACGGAAGAAGAGACGGCTTTATTCTGCTGAACAAGTAAGACATTTCAATAGTTCAATCGTGTAACAGTAACGTTACGTTTTCTTAATTCACACAGTTATGGAGTTTCCTTTGTTGTGCCTTTCTCGTTTAGCTATTATGGAGAATATGAATTCTGAACTACACAGGTAACCATAAAACACATTAAATTTAACATTAGTCACGCAATGCTGATGTTGTTAACATGAACAATTTGAGAACAAAGTAGGCTATAATTTGCACGGTTGCTGTAAATCGCGTTGATTAAATCTAACGAAGCTTATCATGTCGAATGCTTTTTCCCCCTTAGTTGGTCAGAACAAAAATGGATGTTACTTACTTGTTCAGAAGACATTTTCTTATGAAAATTCTTATGTTGGTCAAGCTTTCAAAAAGTGAATCTGTGATTCTGTATGCCAGTATCCACACAGCGCGGTGACTGACAGCAGCTCTCGCCTCAAAGCACTGTGTTCATCCGCGCTGTTTCATGCCGATTTACAACCCACGGAAAGATGATAATTCAGCCAATCACTGCAGTTACAGATTTCGAACAGAGAGATGGCGACAAAGAGGAAAAGATACGGACTGCAGCTTTAAAGAGATGCATGCATCGTATAACGTTGGAGGTAGAGAACCTGTAGTCAATGCTTCATTATAGACACTTAAAAGTAGTATTGAGATTTGATCTATAAAAGCCTTGTAAAATTCAACACAGTACCCATCAGGGCCAGGGCACTTAGAAATAAAACAAGCTATACAGTGTATGCAAAACTCTAAGTTTGAAATAGGTTGTTCTAATGATTTTTTGTTTTCTAGATTTATAGTGGGTATCTGAAGGTTATCTAAAAATTGTTCTATTAAGTTTGAATCATTTTTGGATTCTGAAGAGTACAATTTAGAATAGAAATTCTTGAATATTATCATTTTGGATTGGTTGTTGTCTGACCAGAATCTGTTCGTATCTCTGTAATTAACCTTGACGCTGTTTCCTCTCTAATTTGCTGGGTTAATAGTTTACCTGTTTTTTCCCCATATTCATCATTTTTGTGTCTTAATTGTGTCAAGAATTTAGTCGTTTCTGCTGTATATAATAAATTGAGTTCAGTCTGCAATGACTGCTTTTTTTTATAAAGGTCTGGTGTGGGGGAGTTGGCATAAACTCTGTCAATTTCCTTTAGTTCTTGGGTCATTTTCAACTCCTTTTCCCTTCGCTGCTTATTTTTCAAGCTATTTAAGCAAATAATCTGGCCCCTCATGCATGCTTTAAATGTTTCCCACAAGGTGGATCTTTTGATCTCTGGATCATCATTTGTATGTAAAAATAATTCAATTTGTTTTTGCAGTTCTTCTATTACTTTATCATCCGATAATAGAGCATTGTTAAACCGCCATTTTTTGGTTGTCGGGTCATGTCCCGTCTCTATGTGAAATGATACTGGACTATGGTCAGATAACACAATTGCTTCGTAATCACAGTGTTTGATGTTTGTTAAATATGCATAATCAATTAAGAAGAAATCTATTCTAGAAAACGAATGGTGAACCGGAGAGAAATAAGAATATTTCCTTGTGTTGGGAGATAAAACTCTAAATGGATCAAATAATTTATAGGTATCCATGAGTGCATGAATGGCTTTAGCAGACTTTGATATGTTGGATGGTTTTTGTGATGACCTATCAATTGTTGGGTCTAGCACCAGATTAAAATCTCCACCAATAATCAATTTATGAGAGTCCATATTAGGTAATGCTGTGAAGAAAGAGGTAATAAAGGCCTCATCATCCACATTGGTATACACTATGTGAAGATTAACCCTAGTATACACTAGCTAGAGTAACTGGTTTATCGTACAGTTTTCCTGTAACAATAACATATCGTCCTCGAGAATCAGATATTATTTTTGATGCTAAGAAGGGAATTGTCTTTCTAATAATTATAGCTGCGCCTCTGTTTTTTACTGGGAAATTAGAGTGAAATATCTGTCCAATCCATTTAGTTCGTAACCGTTTATGATCTTGATCTTTTAAGTGTGTCTCTTGTAAAAACCCGATATCCATCTCTAATTTTTTAAGGTGGGTCAATACATTTCCTCGTTTAATAGGTCCATTGAGTCCTTTACAGTTCCAGGAAATAATTTTGACCAAGTTTTTGTGACTAGATGAGTCTAAAGTATTGTTTTTAGCCATAACCGTTTAGTTGGAAAAATAAAAAATTACTCAGTTTTGTTCTTTTTGGACGGTCTCCAACAAAAATCAAAGTTATATTCAATTGTAGTGCAGGTAAAAACACAGAACAAACCAAAGTCCCTAAATCCAACAAACCCTGTTCCCTCCCTGAAGTAGCAGCTCTGTCAGAACTACAGAGGAAACGCTTATTCCCAAAAGAAAAGTTGTTTATACACTGAGAGAGGTGTGTGAACATTTGACTTAACATTAAGCTCCTAAAAAAAAGAAAGTTAAACCAATTTTGTTTTCCAGACCTTCTTAACCATATTTTGGCCAATTGAATTGAATTCAACTTTATTGTCATTGCATGTCACAACTACAAGCAACGAAATGCAATTGCATCCATCCAGAAGTGCTTTAGCAAGGATATAATATATTACAAGCTATGTACATGCTATGAACAGTTTATCAAATGATTTATAAATATAAATATAAAGGATATGACAGACTATAAATATACAATATGCAAGTATTAATATTAATAAACAGCTGTAGAACGATAATTATTGTATTGTACAGTGTGATTGTCTACACAGTATTTACAGTAGTGCAATTAA